CACAGTGTCCCAGCCGCTGGCTTTGGTGCCAGTGCCGGAGGTAGAAGCCGACGAGCCCGTCCTCCACACGGGGCGTGGTCGACCAGGCAAGGGCAAGAAGGCTGCCACATTGGCCAGCTACCTCGAGAAGGAGCGGGAGGGCGTGTATACCCATGTGTCTGATGGCTGTCTGTGGTGGTGCACGATCTGCCAGTGCGAGGTTGCATGCCGACGGGAAACACTGAGTGGGCGGCACAAGATCTGGACCCACGAAAAGAGTGACAGGCACCAGAAGGCCCTCCGGAGCAAGGACACCGGCGAGGCGGTTTTGTGTCAGGGTTATCGATTGGGGTCCGGAGGCCACTGCATGGACGAGGTCGTGGACTCGTGTGCCAAGTGGGCCTCAACAGGAATGATCCAGGGCAAGGTGGTGAGCAAGACCCCTCCGCTCATCTCTCGTGTGCAGCTTGCCTGGAAAGGCGAAGATCTCATTATGCGGCATGAGGCATGCTCTGGCAAGCGTGCCGATGGAAAGACAGGCCTCTGCAAGGAATGCCTGAGCATGGCACGGTCCAAGCAGCTCCTGAACGACGTCGTCAGCTGGGTGGTGAAGGTGGACCTGGCTCGCTATGCGAGGTGTCTCTGTCACGGGCTGGAGGAGGAGCATCGCAACTTCGTGGAGTACCTGATGTCTCGGGATTACTACAATTCCAGTGCGTGTGCGAAGGCTGAGATCGATGCCGTGCTTGCGGCAAGCTCACCCTTGGCAAAGCTCCAGGTCCTGAAGCGAAAACTCGATTCGATACCGCACGCGAAGCGGACGCAGGGTCTGCAGATGTGGTTGGACCAGGCACTCGAAGGCCTCCAGCTCCAAGGGGGGGAAGAATCCGAAAAGAGAGCATACAAAGCTCTCTGTAGCTCCTTCTGTGAATCTGTACATGGAGGTACTTGTTCCAGAGAACAGCTGGCCCTAGCGGCAAAGGTAGCATCTGGCGGGCTCGATGCCAACAGAGTCGTCAAGTGCCTGCTGTACTCCTTCCTCGACCAGCAGTCTCGCATCGATCGCGGCAAGGAGGATCGGCTCTGTACGTCCAAGTACTTGGACGACGAAACACTCCAGGAGGTATGGTTCCGGCTGGGTGTGGGAAGTCAGACCCCTGCAATCCTCCGTCTTTTCGGTGCGAACCCGCGAGCTGTGCCCAAAGTGGACTTCCTGAAGGACTGTTTGCCGCAGTTCTACCTGGCCTTCCTGGACAACTCCAAGCTTCAGAAGAACTGTGCCAACTGTCTGGATCTTCTTAGCTGCAGCGGGGCCCGGGACTTCTTTCTCGCCATTGACGAGTCCAACTACAAGCCGACCTACCAGGTCGTCGGGGGTCTCCTGAAGCATGCGCCGAGGACCATTGTTGGGGGGCACTACTGTGCGAGGGATGACTGGAGCCAGCTGCAGAAGGCCGAGCAGCTGCCTGAGGCCAAGCAGTCCCACCTGGGTCTCTTCTGCATCCTGGCACGGAGTGACACGCTGAAGCATGCCTACTGTGTCAAGGTGACACCGATGCCTCACGGCAGCTCAGGCAAGTCCCACCAAGTGCTCGACATAGTTGGACGGTGCCTGTCTGCTTCCGCACAGGCGAACGAGGGCAAGCCTGCTCTCGGAGTTGCCATGGACGGCGGAGCTGCCAACAGCTCGGTGCTGCATGCGGTCCTCGGTTTGGCCAGCGAGCAGGAACTCCAGGACACAGAGTTTTTCAGCCGATGCAGTACGGTCAAGTTGGACATCCATCGGCTGCTGCCTTTCGGGCGCTTGGTCTTCCAGAAGGACCGGACCAAGCACACCATCTTCGGCTCCCTCGACCTCTGCCACTTGATGAAAAGGATGGCCCACCATTGCTTCAGCGGCTCACGTATTGTACACTTCGACGAGTGCCCGGTGGACTACAGCAACTGTTTGCAGTTGGGAATGCCGGTCAAAGCCTTCATCTTCAGCGACACACAGTCAGACAAGCAGGCCTTCCTTCGGCTCAGCCCTACCTACACTTCCACATGCTGGAACAGCTTCGGCCTCCACACCGCCCAGTACATCTCCGCTTTGGTGTCAAGTGGCTGGGAGGGGGCCACTGGGCTCTCCACTCGGCAGCGCTTCGGGAACCTGGCATCTGCGTACATTTTACTCCTCTGCAACCTCATGCTCGCAAAGTGTAATCGGGGCACCGACTGGGAGATGAAGTACCTCCCCTTGTGCACGGTGCGCAACTTATGCTACGGGTGCGCCCTGGGCATGTCCCTCTGTGTCTTTTGCGAATCTGCAGTGCGGCCTTGTGCCTTCGCTGAGAAGGTGGCCGAACAATTCTTTAGCCGCATGAAGGCAGGGTACCGGGGAACGGCTTCACTGGCCGACTGTCTACTTGGGATCCAGAAGGAGCATCTCAAATTGTCAGGGTTGTCGCTTGAGGTTCCGGAGGAGTCGTCGATGCCGCTTGACTTGCCAACGGCCAACAAGTTGTTTGAGAGAAGCTTCAAAGAGGCGATTCGGTTCCAAACCTGGGTGTCGCGCAACAGGAAGCCGGATGAATTGGAGAAGCAGTTCCTCCTGTGGTTCCAGTCCGAGGGTCAGGCTTTGCTGACTCAGGGACGGGCCGAGGATGACGATCTTGACAAGGAGGGTGAGGATGAAGATGATTTGCCCGGTGCCGAGTGCGATGATCTGGAGGGCGATGGGGTGCCCGACGAGGCTATGGCTCTGCTGCAGGATGTCGAGGACCACATCATTGCCAAGGCCCAGCTGGAGGATTTGGCTTCCAGCTCGGCTGTGGAGGCCGAGCATGCCGAGGATGGCGAGGAGGGCACCGATGACGAGGAGATCGGCCCTGACGTTTCTGTGGTATCGCCAGCTGGTGACAAGGACCAGCACACTCAGGAGTGCAAGCTGACCTTGCATGGCCTGGTCATGCTGTGTGACGACATCGAGACGTTTTCCATGGAGACCAAGGAGGCCACCCAAGCCGAGATGTGCCTGCAGCGGCAACAACAGTTGCAGCCCCTGATGCGGGCACTTGTTCTCAAATGCCGGGAACGTGAGGGTTACATCTCCAAAGCTCAGCTCCGCGGGGGAGTCAAGCTGCAGAGCAGCTACCACAGGCTGCAGCACGAGCTTGCTCTGGCTCGTGCAGCCTGCCAGACTGAAGGCAGCCGCCAATCTCGATTAGCGACCTGGCGGACGACGCAGAAGCATTGCATCGCTGAGGTTCAGAGCAAGAAGGCTGCCGATCAAGACATGCCACTGCTGGACCTGACGCATTACAAGCCTGCCAATCATCCGGAGTATCAGGTCATCCTGTTTGTGGACGAGCACAAGAGTTTGCAGATAGGCATGGTTTGTTCCGTGTGGCGAGGGGCTGTTTTGAAGAAGCAGGCCCAAGCGGGCAAAACCAGTGCAGTGACTCGCAGGATGCGTGCGACGAAGCCCGCCACTGGACCGCTGCCATCGAGTTCATGTGCGAAGATCGCGGTGACCCTGCTCACCAAGTGTGCTGATCAAGCCTTCTTTGCATGCAGCCTCTCCCCGACGCTGCTCCTGGATCCTGTCGGCCGAGTCGGCAGGGCCGTCGGCGAGATCAAGTGCAACTGGTCCAAGTCCGAGCCGGATCGCTGGTTGGTGCAGCTTGACAAGGCGGCTTTGGAGGCTTGGGATCACTTGTCTAAGAATAAGGAGCTGCTGAACAGCAAGCTGCATGCGGAGCCAATCAAGGGTGTGTCCAGCACGACGACGGCAGAGATTGCAGGCCCGTCCAAGATCTTGAATTACAACGATTTCAGCCGAACCTTCTCCGGCACAAAACAGATCGCGGCGTTCATGGGGCACCTGCCCCGGCTCTACAAGGAGCAGGCGGAGCTCGAGATCCTTGACGAGTCCGGGAAGTTCCTGGCCCATGGGGTGGCTTACAGCTGGGCCGCAATTTGTAGGCAGGTGCCGGAGTGGTTCGGCTTGACCTGCGAGGGGAAATCAACCAAAGAGTACGGAAAATCAGTGGTCAGCAAATTTCTCCGGGTGATACCAGGTGAGGCAGGCTTCCGAAAGCGACTGGACGACTGGGTCCGAGACATCGTCAAGCTTGCCCAGCCTGTGCCGGGCGCATGGATCATCCCGCATCGTGTTTCTCAGCTGGCTTCACCGAAAATTGTTTGAATGCCCAGGCTCGTGGTCTGAAGCACTGCATGGCGCATCCGAAGGCGCCTAGCTACTCGCTTCACGGGTGCATCTTCCGAGCCACCCCCTGCATGCTAAGGCCGTCGCCGCAGTGCTTCTTCTTTGGGGTTTCAGGGTCTGCCGTTCAGCACTCCAGACAAACACTGACTTCTGCTAATTCTCACGTACCATGTGCCACGAGGCTGCTGCTGCTGCTACGCACAGGTCGAGAAGAGCTCGGCAGACCAGCAGATGCAGTACCCAGGGGCGGACAAAAAGCCCGGAACAGCAGCTGCGCAGAGCGAGCGAGAGAGAGGGAGAGAGGGAGAGAGCAAGCAAGGCAAGTGATGGCAAGTGTACATGTGTGTGCATGTCAGCAACCCCACGATATTGCATAATCCAGCTCTTGAATCCCTCCAAGGCCCCGCATAATGCATAATCCGGGGGGTTGGACGTCGAGAAATGCATTAGGCATTTTCCGAGGTGCCCCAGCCCCAAAGAGTAGGGGATCTGAAGACAGCAGCCTTGCCGAAGGCATCAGAGAATGTTTGGCATTCACTGCTGGTTTCCTTTCTGGTTCCTTGTTGACAAGCACGAGCATCCACGTGTTTGTAGGAGGGTAGACACTTATTTCGGAGTTGTGCTTTTACCGTCATTCGGTGCAGGCTTGGGCTTCATGACAACGCATGCGAACTCAATTTCTCAAGCAAGCTTGATTGCATAGCAGCTTGCAGCAGCATGCGAGGAGCACTGCATCATTCACATGCCCTTACCGTCCCAGTATCTTTCGTCCTCTCTGCTCTTAAGTCTCCTTTGGTTTCCGGCTTCCGGCTTTATGGCTGTGTGCAGGAGCTTTTTGCCGGAGGGCACTGTTAGCAAAGCACGCTTGTCGCTGCTTCGCCAATTTCAACGTGCTGGCTTGCTCGCAGACGGCTGTCCACCGGGCCAGGCGGCCGCAGTGCAGATACGTTCATGTGCCTGTGATCTTCTGAGGGCATCGATGAGCACCCATGTTCGGCACATCAGCTCCATGTCATACGCCGCGTTCCTCCATTCAAGCAGGCAGTATGTGGAGCAAACATCGAAAACGGCAAGCCCGAATGTTTCTGCTCGGAAGAGGTGTTGGACGTCTTGAATGATAACGAATCTCGCCGGATTTCAGCTTCCCACACGGACAGGCCTGTGTGTGCGGTAGCATCACAAGTAACAACAGTCCTGCAGCAAAGGACTTGTTTAAGTTCTTGGACTCTTTGTTTGATGATGCTGTGGAAGTGGTCTTCGATTCAGCCAACCTGCGTGCTGTGAAGCCGGGGCAGCGCACTGGATTCCACACTGACTCTGCGACACCCTTGGACAGAGTTTTTTTCACAAGTATGAGTTTGACAAGATATAGTGACACTACTCATTCGTCGATGCCTTTTCCTTGTAGGTCTACATGGGCAAGCTCATGGTACCTGGCCGACCCCCAGTCCTGGCATGCTGGATTGCGCTGATGCCAATTTCCCTCGAGTTGGGGGGCCTCGCCCTGTGCCGGGGTTCAAACTCACATCCAGGAGCTGCAGCACAGAACAAAGAGTCACTCCAGTATGTGCGTCTCAAACAATGGTCCCTAGCCGTGGGTTTACAGCTTGAACTCAATGCCACATCTGACGGAGCTTCCGCTTCTCTGTTTCTTACTTTCCGTTCCCATGCAAGCTTGTGGAGCAGCTGCCACCCGGCACAGGATTTGAGATACTGCGCAGAACTTATGGAGAGCTGGACCTAGATGAGAACGACATTGGGGGCACTGGTTGGTTTTCCGAGGATCCCGAAGAAGCTACTTTGCTCATGAGTGAAGTGTGAGGACGTATTCTGCTGTGTGTCGCAGTGGCAGGTCTCAAGATTGGGTGGTCTCTGGGAAACAGCCGCATACGGAGCAGGACTGGGATGAGCCCCAAAAGTCTGCAGTCTTAACGTGAGTTGCCAACTGCTCGAAGGAGACGTTGTGATTTTCACAATGCACACCATGCATGGCAGCTCCACGAATCGCACAGATTCGTGGCGCCTCTCCGTGGATTTCCGTGTGCAACCTTCTCATGCACCACCGACACTGGTTTCCCAAAACAAGGGCAGGCAGAGCATGGCAGATGTGTTTTGAGTCTGCCGCGCGTGAGCCGGGCCGGGGCAGGTGGTCTCGGCTCCGTCACAGCCAATCGGAGTTTCCACGTAGTATGGACGAGGCGCCTTTGGAAGCACATGGAAGCAGTTACCATTGGCCCTGCTACGAAAACTCTTCCGAGTGGAGGCCAAGGCTGCATGGAACCTGCACGAGGCAAGAGATGGGCAGACTGCTCATGGAAGGTTTGGACATGACTGGCAGGGGAGGGGTCCCGTCCGTTGCAGGCAGCTCGTGGCTCGAAGCGTCCTGCTGATGAGCCTGTCGAAAACGGCCGTGCACATGATGCCTCCATCTGCTGTTGTTTTTGCTATCGGGCCGGGTTCTGGTACAAACTTTGGAAAGCATCCTTTGGCCCGAAACTGTTGCCACAGATCTGCATCGGCGAAGAATGTTTAAGATTTGTCCATATGCTCTAGAACACGAGCGGATTTTGTCATTAAGTAGCATTGCAAGACTCAGCACTCCGCCTGCGCCTCGCGCGCGATGGGACTGCTCAATTCGGCGACACGAGCTGCCAGTTTAATGACGCATGCAGGACATCGATGAAGGTCGTTCAAGGCTGCTCATGGCCATGGCCAGCCATGACGCAGAAACAGTGTCTTGTTCAGGCGCATCTGGACACTCGCATCGGGACATGCAAAAGGAGCTGGACGAGTGGCGGCAGCGAAGAGCCAGGCAAGGCAAAGCTAAGGAGAGCACCTTAGAGAGAAGCTTCGCCGGAGTCACGCCGAAAAAGACGCAGAGGAGGATTCCTCTCTCGCCGCGATGTTCCAACGTCGACAGCTCGTCAATAGCCGTTCAAGAGCGCGACATGCGCAAGGAACTGCAGTGCTGGAAGGAGGCCAAAGCAAGGCAAAGCAGAGGCAAGGAAAACGGAGGGTTGAAATCCCAGCGGCCGAGAGCCACTGACATGCGTCGAGCGTCTAGCCCTGGTTTACCCGCGGACTCAGAATGCTTCACGGGGAGCACGGGGATCTGTTTGGGAGGGAGCGCTGTTGCTGCAGCCCTCGCTGCAATGGAACCTCCCTTCCTGCTGGCACCACCACCTTCGCCCACTTTGCGCACTGCGACCTGGACCGGCTCGGACTGCGCTGGCCTTGGAAGTGAACCACAGAGCGGGAGAGAAGAAGAAGAAAGCGGCAAAACACCGTCTTTGAGGTCCTGGTCTGAAAGACCTGACCCTGGAACCCAGCGTGCTGCATGCTGCGGTGCTGGCGGCATTCTCCGTTGGTCCCTCAGAGGCTTATACTATCATTGAAGATGTGTAGAGAAACGCATGGCAGACACACAGTGGTGCACATCTGGTCTTCGAATTTTCGTGTCAACGTGCCGCAGACGACAAGGGTCTTCTACATGTCACATAGATATCACCACACTGGTGCAAACCAGAACAGAGTCTCTTGTGGTAACGACTTACTCCTTCACCCCAGCTGCAAAAGCCACTTGCCTCGTATTGTCTGGAACATGCCATCCCGATCACAATGATGCAGTGATGAGCCTTGGTTGATGCATGTGTAGGTGCCGGAAGAGTTTTCCAGCCAATCTTCAATCCAAAGTTGTCCGCACCTCGGACGGTCTCGGATCTCAAGATCTTACGTCAAGCTGCAGCTGTTCTAGCGTAGCTTCGCTGTTCGGCTCAAAGGACATTGCTGGATGTAGTTGCACTGCCAACAAAGGGGGACCCCTGTCAGATTTGCAATGCACGTTGGAGCTGGGAACAATATTAGATCAAGTTCTCGACAATGTCGACACAGGTTGCAGTCTCCGTGCCGGCAGCAAGTCTTGAGTCATGCATGCATGCTGCATGCCGTCACGTCGGAACTGCCTACATCAGTAAATCTCGACTAGAGTTTGAACAAGGGCTGATTGCCGTTCTCCATGCCTGTCGAGCGGCTGCAGAACATGTCTTGGCTGTCATGCAGTTCCGACATGCAGTCTGCTACCTAGGCGCCACCAGCAGCACGGCATGCAGCCCGGACAAGATGTCTTGCAAGTCCTTGAATGACATGCTGACTGCAACTGCTACTTTTTTGCGTATCCGGCACCTGGTCGCCGAGTGGTGTGCAATCAGGAGTCGGATGAAAAAAAGCTATGAGTCTAAGGCTGGAGCTCCCGGCGCCAAAGAGGTGGAATGCAAGGGTGCCCGACATAGCTGACAAGCAGGCTGAATGCACTTATCTGATCTGTTAGCTGGGCTCGCGATCGCTGTCGCGCGTGGTCTCGTTCTCTGTCTCAAGCTCGAGAGCGCGCGCTGTCGCTGTCTCGCTCTCTCGCTCCCTCTCTCTTTTTTTTTTTCTCTCTCTCTCTCTCTGTGTTCTCCTATTATCGGTTAGGTAGGTCTGGAAAAGAAGGGTCACACTCCTGCATGCGATCAGCATGCTTTGAATCTTTCTGTGGCTTGTGAATCCCGTGGCCATTTCGGGTCGTGGCGATCGCCTCGATCCGGGAAGGATCTTTTTGTGGGGAGTTGCTCGGGTTTCGAATGTCGGGAAGAGACTTTGGTGTGTGTTCGGTCCTCCCGGGAAGGGTTCGCTGAACGCGTGCTCGAGCGACTTCGACGTTGACGAGTACTCTCGCGGGTTGTCGATCGTTTGGGGGAAGGAATATGTGCTTGGTGCACTTTCGATGGATGTGTCGATTTCGGATGCCGCTCGACCGCATCCCTGAGCGGAAACCGCTCTGGTTTTGCATGCTGTTTAGCGAGCTTGCAAGCGTTTGTGCCTGGGGTGCGCGCTCTCTCTTTCTCTCTTTCTCCCGCTCTGTCGCTTTCTCTCCTCGTGTCTGCCAGGGTCGGTTGAGCTCGCGTCGAGGAGCGTCCACACGCTGGCTCAAGCAGCCGCTTCTATTTGTGAACGATCCGTTTGTCGAGTAAAACACTAGCCTGATGTGGTGTTTGCGGCCATGTTGGTCTCAAGGACGACACCCGAACTTCACGGAGGGTGAGTCAGGTGAGGAAGCTTGTGCATGGACCTGTCAGTCGTTCCACTGTCTCACGAGTGGGACTTCGCCCAGAGCTATCGGGAGGCCGATGGTTGAACAGCTGCTCAATGCACTTGCCGTGTGCGTAGCACGGCGACCCGGGTTGCACCGAGCGGTGGGTGGCATTTGGCACCTACTCGCTCCGGAACGAGCCTGAAATGGATCCGGCCGAGACCGAGCTGCAGACCCTCAGCGCAGCGTGTGCAGACGCTCAAAATCACGGCCCCAACGATGCACATGGATAGGCCCAGGTTGATTAGAGTGGTTGGTTTACAGGGCCAAAAGCCGCTTGAGGTGAGAGCACGTGGAGCGCCTTCGTATCTTGCATGACAAGCCGGGTCACGGAATTCGGCATTGGCTGCTGTTGTGCCCGACGGGGAATACAGGACCAAAGAACTGTGGTACCAGCGGCCACCCTATGACTCTCCCAGCGACACGGCTGCGGGGGAGGTGAGCGCAGGCCACCGCCGGGTGACGAAGAAGGCGGTTCGCCCAAGAACAACATTAAAAGCGAGAAGAAGTGCAATGGCGAGGACATGAGTGAACAATGATTCCGCCTCAGGAGCGCCAAGATCTGCGATGGCTGCAACAAGGGCAAGTGTGTGAACAGGAAGCCCCGGGGCAAGTGCAGGGATAAGAACAGTCAACAATGCAACCGCTGCCTAGCCTGGCCCTCGCTGCAGCCCACTTTTGAGCCTGCCGGGTCAGGGGTCGCCGTCTGTCTTTTCGAGCTCGCCTCAGCATGGTTCGGCTGCCCATCCCAACCGAACACAACGCATGGGGTCCGCTATAGCTGAGCTCCGACGATACCGGGTAAGACATAAGCCCGAATCTAACGAGGGGAGAGGGGACGGGCCGGCCGGCCGGTGATAGGGCAAGGAATGGAGAGTTACCAGCAGGGTGTCTGCGGCCAATGCGCTGAAGGCCCTAAGTGATGCCGCGATAATTGAAATCGGAATCTCGGGCCTCTACTTCCGGTAGGCCCGGCAAGCAAGTGGAGTCACCAATGGATCGAACAACTAGCTTTGGTCTACGGGGTTTGTTGTGGAGACTGGCGAACATTGTTTTCTTGAAGAAAGCACCCTTCGGACCTTCCAGTTCCTTGCCTTCCTCCTCCGCGTCTTCTAGCTCTCATTCATAATGAAGGCGATGATTTCTGATAAACAACCTATCAAGCACCCGCCTCAGCAGGTGGGGCAATTTGCGGTTGTGATCAAAAGCCATGCAGATGTCCTTGCCCACCTGAGCTTTCCGGAGATCAGCTACGGATTAGCAAGCGGAGCGACCCTTGCGACCAACAGATAAAGGTCTGCTGCTGCGCTGGCTTTGTATGACGGTTGATGGGAGAGCGGTTCACGAGTGTCGAGCAGAAGAGTAGCCTGCGGTTGCGGTGGTGATAATCGTCAGCGTGGATGGTGATTCTTTTCAAAGCTGTTGTTCGTGGTCAGTGCGGTTTCAAGGACGACACCCGAATTTCACTCACACACCCACTCCGGATTGTTTTTGCCCACTTGAGTTTTCCTGAGCTGAGCTACGGATTAACAAGCGGAGCGACCTTTGCGACCTGCGGAGTTAATTTTGTATGGCGGTTGCGGTTCACGATTGTCGCGTGTTTCCTCAGCTCCACATCACGATAATTTATTCTATGTTCGCATTCGTCCTTTGATAAGCATTCCGTGCATTCGGGTGTGGCCGCGAGACGGAATGCGAGGGTGGGTGTATTCATAAAATCAGTGCTCGACAAGTGGACCGCGGTTGTAGCCCCCGAGATCAAAACTCGGCACGTGGATCTCGGCGTGCTTTTCGATACACAGGGCCTCGATTCACGCGACATGAAAAAGCATCGGCCACTTGGAGATTTGGTGCCAACATGATCAAACATGTATGCTAGTATAGATCGAAATGAAACGCTCTTGGACCCCAGCTTCTGCGACATGGCCTGAAAGTTGAGTTCGCGCGAGTTAGAGATTACAAACCGAGTGTTAGTGCATATAATTTTCAGTGATGTTCGGGTAATGTGTATTCTCGTCAGGTAAACAAGGCACTCGTATGTCTTCTGGTTTGCTTCTCCCTTCTCTAATCATTTTATGGCGTTCAGATTGACCCGATTTGCCCACAAGCCGGGCAGTCTAGCATATCAGGCCGTTGGGTGCCATGCAACGTTTCATGAAGCGTACTGTTGAAGCCTTCCCTACCAGTCGCCACCACTACAGTAGCGGAAACATGCCAATCGCTGCCCGAAGAACCCGAAACTGAAATGAACAATTAGCCAACGCGATTTTGCTTACGGATGTAATGTAGATGCAGTCGAAGGTCAGAAAGGTTCGGCTGGCTACGGATTGGCTAGCAGTCGCAGCGTAAGCAGATCGTAGAAATGGGCTTGATGGGGGGTCGAGCAGGCCGTGCTTGTAGGCAAGCGAAACGTTTGACAAATTGTGTTATTTGGTCTTGTTCTTGGTTTGCTTGTTGTGGTGGTGGGGATGGTGGTGAGTCGTGAGCGAGACGGCGATAAGGCAGCGATAAGGACACCCGAGTCCAAAACCCCAGCAAGGCAAGCAAGATCTCCGTTGTTGCAAGGTGCCCAGACAACTCTTGTGGGGCAGACTCAAATTGGTGAGGACGAGGTCTTGCGGTGCGAGCAGTGCGATAAGTTGATACATGTGCCCGCGCCATGTCAGGACATGGGCTGCAAAGAGGAGGAGGAGGTTTTTTGGGTTCCGTTTCAGAGCTGTCAGTGCTTCTGGCACCCGCCACTCCCCAACTGCTACATTGAAACCCGTTCTGCTTGGAGTGCAGCATAGTATGAACGCGAAGCCGCAGGTCCGAAACCGTCAAACTTAAACGGACGTCAACTCCCGGCGAACAGAGACTCATGGCGAAAGACAGTTGATGCGTTCGAATTCATGATGATTCTGCATATATATATATATACACACATATATACACAAGTTACATAAAGCCAGAATAATAACAATAAAAACACCCAACAACAAAAGACAGTAGTAATAAAAGCAAGAATAATAGTGGTAGTAATGAGAATTATCGTGATGGTAATGGTAATCGTCACACTTATACTGCTTTTGGTGCCGATATTGAAAGTAAAACTAAGACTAGTATTAATACTGATACTGATACTAGTTCAAATACTTATACTAGTGCTAATACTAATAGTCATACTAATACTGATACTGATACTGATGCAGATACTGATACTCATACAGTCATACTGTTACTCATACTAACAGGCACACTGATACGAAAACTCATAGCAGTCATCATGAGAATGACATTAGTAACGCTAAAACTAGTACTGATACTTATACTCATACTGGTACTGGTACTCATACCGATACCAATCCCAATACCACTCGTCATACCATACCAACCCCATCCAATCGCAATACCAACACCAATACCAAATACCACATACCGCACTTTACATACTACTACTACTACTACTACTACTACTACTGCTACTACTACTACTACTACTACTGCTACTACTACTACTACTACCACTACTACTGATAAGGCTAAGACTGAGACTGATCCCCGATCCCAATGCCAATGCCAGTGCTAGTACTCATACCAGTTCTGAGGCTGTATCTTCTAGTTCTAAGCTGTATATGTATGTAGAATACATACGCGGTTCATGCGGTATTGTTGTGCTTGTCGCTGTGCGTCCGAGATGGTGTCATTCTGTTCGGATGCGGCGTAGACACACAGCACCTTGCCCTTGAACGGGGCTAAGGCATTTCTTTTTCTAGATTAAGGATTGGTAGCGTTACTTGTGATTCGACGACATGGAAGAGGTCGCATGCCCCGCTGGCTACATGGCCGATTTTGGACAGGTTCTGCATCAGGAACACCTTGCGCTTCTTGACCGTCTTGCAGAGCCTAAGCCCAAGACTTGACCGTGGCACCTTGCGGCGATTTTTATTGCATCAAGGCTGTCTTAGCTTCTTTGTCATCGCACCCTCATCCACGCCCGAATGCTTTCAACGAATGCTTTCCGTAGTTACAACCCACCACCAAAGTCAGTTTTGGCTTGGGCAAAAAATCCTTGGCACGGTAAACGGTCTTGAGAGTCCCGGACTCTGGATCGAGCCAGCTTAAATTTGTGAATTTCTCTACTGAAGCTTGCTCAGCTTTTCCTTTCGTGATGTCTTCCATTTGTCACATCACCTTTTCGCACAGAGTGGGGTGGAAGTGCAGGAGCATATTATGGCTTTGGTTTGAGCTTAGCCTTTGATCGTTTGCGCTCGAAACTCTTGTGGAGCCCCAGGTTACAGCAGCAAGCGCTGAGAATCCAAGGGGATGCGCATGGTGAGGAGGGCGAAGTGGAGCAGGCGCTCTGCTGTTACAGCTAAGCAGCCAAGCCAAGCAGCGAAAGCCATGATGCTGCAGGTGTTGCGTGCTCGCTTCGAGCAAGTAACCGTGGATCTCGAGGAGCAGAAGACAGAACAGTGTCCCAAGAGAGGTCGTTCGAACTCGAAGGTTTGAGAGACAGAATGAAGCTTGAAAGTTTCAAAGATTGAATGTGTGAAAGATGCTGGAGTTCGAAGTTTTGGGCGGGAGGGTATTTTTTGTGGGAATTTGTTTTTGCATCTGTGGGTATCTTTTTTTGGCCTTGTCTGCTTAAACCCTTTTTCTTTGCACCCTGTTTTTTTCGCCCGCGGCCGGAAAGGAAGAGAAGGAAGGCAGGAAGGACAAAAGGAAGGAAGAACGGAGGAAGAAAGGAAGGAACCAACGAAGGCAGGAAGGAAGAAAGACAGAGAAAAGGAATACACATGCACGCATACAGACACGTATGCATATACACATTGATAAAAGTAGTATATTAATTCGTTTGTAGTACTGGTGGGTAGGAATTAGGAGATCAGTTTCGCGATCGTTTGAACAGCCATGATCTTGTAATTTCCGTGGCCATTTTGGCGACAGCCGATCGGCCCTACCGAAAAGTTCGGCGTGGGACGGACAGATTAGATCGCTTGAGCGCAGCCATGTCGTTCCCTCCTGTGGGCCCTTATCAGGGACAGCAGCAAGGAGTGCCGCAGTTCGGACTGCCCCGGAGGATCCCTCAGGGCGAGAATCCTGGCAGCTGGGGGTTCTACACTCCGGGCCTTGCTGAAGCTCCCGAGAACCCAGCGGTTCCTGCTGCTGCATCCGGCGACTGGGGCTCAGGATGGGGTCGCGACGATCGTCGTGGACGTCGCGACCGTGCAGCTCCAGCAGCCCACAATCCCCTCGCTGTTCAGCGACCGGAGTTCGTCCGACAGATCGTGGTCGAGGAAGAGGATGAGTCGAAGAACTCACTTTTGGTCATTGACAATCGTGATGACCGAGTGATCTCTCCTTTTCAGAACTGGCTGGCTGACGAGATCATCTCGAATGCCGCCAGCTCGATCAATGTTCTGACGGAGAAAAACCAGGTCATGCCCCCGAGCTCCGGCTACCATTGTTCGTTGTTCGCGAACTACACGCTCGATGGCATGAAGGCCGTTCTGCTCTTTTCGATGACATCGACGACGGGAGGTCCCTGTGCCCAGTGGGACTCCTATGCAAGTCGGGCGCTATCGCACCCAGCCTTCCAGCCTTTGGCTTGTCATGTTCGATACCTCGGCCACCTATGTGGACGTGAAGGTGTTCAATGGAAATGAGGTCCTTTGCCATTGGGTGTTCCCAGGATACCGTTCGGACGCGGATCTCTCAGTCCGGCAGGCGCTGTTGTGGAGTGCCCACTTAGCTTGCCCAATTCGAACGCTCCCCACGGCGCGCTTGTGGAGTTCCCCCTTAGCTTGCCCGATTCGAACGCCGTGGGGACGCGCGCGTCCTGTGGAGTTTCCCCTTAGCTGGCCAGATTTCAAGCGAAATCAGACACACGCGAACGCTTGCGGGCGATTGCGGGCGCTTGCGAACGCTTGCGAAAGCTGCGCACGCACTTCGCGTCAACTCTTAACCCCCAGGCCCCCAGCCTTCAGACGAGAACCCTTCTGCTGCGCATTCGGGAAGAAAAACCACACGCTTCCGGGGGGTTCAACTATAGCGAAAAATATAGAATTGATTATGAATGCTTGGAAAGTTTGCAAATGCACAGGGCTGCGCCCCCCCAACCCCCCCGCTCTTTTTAGACTAAACTCGCCGCTCTCTTATAAGCCGCGAAGAAATGAATAAAAACGTGATCGCCAGCACACAATAAGGAGAAAGCCACACGAAAACGCTTCCGGGGGGTTAAAAGCGAAGGAAATACAATCGATCATGAATGATTTGGAAGGTTTGCAAATGGGGGGGACTGCTTTTCTTCTTCTCTGCTCTTCCGCTGCTCGGATCGTCTGCTTCGCTCTCTTCTTTTTTTTTTTTTTGCTTTCTGCTCTTCCCTGCCTCAATTGCTTTTTCTTGTTGATTGTTGCTTTTCGGCATTTCTGCTTTTGCACTTCTCTGCTTCTCTGCTGCTCTGCTTTTGACGCTTTGCTTTCGTACTGTTATTACTACTGCTAGTAGTACTATTGCTACTACTACTACCACTACTGCTACTACTGCTACTACTACTGCTACTACTACTGCTACTACTACTACTACTGCTGCACTGCTGCTGCTACTACCACTACTACTACTACTACTACTACTACTACTACTACTACTACTGCTACTACTACTACTACTACTACGCTTACTAGTCTTTCTTGTAATTTTCGTACTATTGCTTTTGTGACTATTTTATTGTTATTATTATATCCCGAAATTATCCCTAATATTATTCCTAGGACTATCATTATTATTGTTATTCTTACTCTGAGTACTTTTGTTACTATTGCAATAATAACATAATATACATATATATGTATATATACATATTTACATGTATTTATGTATGTAGCTATGCACAATAAAGAACGCATATGCATATCAATATATATATATATATATATATTCACGGTCTATCCGTCGTCAAACCTCATCACCAATCTTTGTATGTTTGACGGAACCTTCAACTACCGATAGGGCTTAGCAAGATTCCGAAGCGTGGCTAAAGTGCTTTCCCTCTACGATTGCCATACCTTGCCAAAAGCCGATCGCGGATCTCCCGGACCCTGCCCGCAACTACTGGTCTCTGCATTCTTGACGCAACCCGCTAGTACTGACGAGCCAACGTGGTTTTCCACACGTACCAACGGATCCCGAAGCACGACCACAAACGGGTCCCCGAGTTTACTGACGGTTCCAAAAGCACGGCAGCATGTTGTCCCCCGAGTACTGCCGTTCCAGAGGCCTGGCTGGGCACATCCCTGCCCCGGCACTACCCCCCCATCCCCCTCCAAAAAAACAAACACATAGATGCAAACAAACAAACCCCAAAGAAACTCTGCACCCATTTTGGGCTCCCTAAGCGAGCGGGCATCAAACTTCAAAGATTTCGAGCGCGAAAAGTTCTCAAATCCACCCTCTCGAAGCCTTTCAAACTGTCGCACTTTCGAGCTCGACTACATGAATCGATTTCAGGCTTCGGACTTTTGTCGCGGCCGAGTGCTTGTTTGTTATGCCTGCGACCATGCCCGGAGGTTTGGGGGTGGGCGGAGGCTGGGGCAGTTCCGGAACCCCTGTGAAAAAATGGAAAGGACAAGAGCAGTAGCAGCTTCCAAGACGGACCGATTGAAATCAGGAGCTGAATGGGCGTCAGCGACGGCAGGCTGCAGCATGCAACGGCAGGGCTTGCCTGGAAGCTGGTATGGTGGGTGGAATTGCAGGAGATGGTCAGCTGGCGACATCGCGGCAACCTGAGCATCCTTGGAAAGCCACACCGTGCCAGAGCTCTACGTTATGCGGGCGGGTTTTCTGCCTCTTGGGCGGGTGCCCAGGCGTTCGGCGACATGTGGTCTCCTGGCCGGCACAGACAGCACTGGACATGGAGGACTAGGGCCGCTGTCAAGGCCGAATGTGCTGAGCCATCCTAGCTTTCCTAAGTCGGTCGGAGGATCACCTTAGCCGGGCGCACGACCTCTTCACTTTCTGGTTCTTCGAGGCAAGTTCATGCCTTTCTCGTTTTTCGCAGAATCGCACACAGCTGAAGTGTCCAGATGCGCGAACGCATCAAGACGTTGCTGGACTCCAAAGCCTCCCAGAAGCCTGTCTCGCTGCTGTCCCCCATTTACGAGGTTCCTTTGCATCCCATTCTGATCCAGCTTCGCTGTGGAGTGTACTTCTCACATGGGCAGGACTAGTCCGTCCAAGGGCCAGACAGGCCAGACGAGATGCGATGAGTCAACACAGAGCGATAGGGGGTGTCAAGGGTTTTAACACAGTGGTACTGATAAGATTTGTGACATGTGATGTTATGCACTTAATTCGAGTCCTGCATGATTGGCTTGTCTGTAACGGCTGCGGGCAATCTCAACTGCGACGAATGCGTATTCATCAAAGCAGCCGAAAATTTCAGGAGAGACATGGAGAGACAAATGTGAGACTGCGGATTCGCCATGTTGTCGCCAAAAGGTGCAGCTCTTGCCGGCCGTGCTCGACCGTTTCAGCATGTCTGCAGCACAAGTTGCCTTAGTTAACGGGCCTTAGTTCACTGAAAAGTAGGCCACAGAAAGTTCTCGACCATAAAGATTGAGAACTTTCGGTCAAACCTTGGCCGGTTCGGAGCACATACACAATTAGTGCCCAAGCCTCAACTCGACGTGAGATGGCTTGCCTCGATGGCATCGCAGACCGGCCCTTAGATGATTCCTGCTCGCGTGTTCGTCTCAAGCTCGAGCAAAACCCAGCAAAACAGTGCAGTGGGGAGGAGCGACTTCGAGTTCGGCCAGCAGCTGGGCCGAGGAAGCTTCGGAGCCCAACCGTCCCGTTTCTCCCGCATGTCGTGTCATGGCACCTTTCTGCTTCTAGCAGGTGGTTTTCAAAGTTCGGAGAAAAAGCGACGGGCTCACCTGTGCGGGGCATCCAAGTCGGGAAGATCTGTCACGCCGTGAATGTGCGTAACCAAGCCAGATGGGCACGCCAAAGGTCTGCAAACAGATTCAGTTGAGCAACTGCAAGCAGCGAGCGCGCGATGAAGCCAACAAGGAGGCCTCAACAAGAGCCGTCTCGTGTACGTTGCCAAACGTGTTGGGGGCCACCGATCAACTCAACTTCTGCCCTGCTCCAGGTAAATCTCCTCAGACGAGTCTCACATGGTTGCAACTACATCGTCCAGTATTTGGGATCGTTTTTGGTACGCGGCGAAGTTTTTGTGATATGCTGAAGCGATCAAGCTGATGCGATTATGCATGCTTCCAGGAGGGTGAGGCTTTGCACATCCTCATGGAGTACTGCGAGAGAGGCTTGCGCTGATGATGTCATCGATGCGTAGTTTTAGCTGCACGGCCGCAGGAGACTTGTGCCAGTTCCTCAAGACTCGCGACGAGAGCCTGGAGGACGCTTCTGAGCCTACGCCCTATGCTGCTGCATTTTTCATGTGAGCTTTCATGGCTGTGCTCATCACAGCTGAAGCTTGCCAAGCTGCTGGTGTTCAGTGGCTTTAGTTTTCTCATGTTTTCTCAAGCGGACAGAAGCGAGACGCCTTTGCGCGCCTGGGCAGGAGAGAGCGATCTGGAAGTATTTGTTGCAGATTGGCCTCGGCTTAAGATGGCTTCACCAGAACAGGCCATTTCTGCAGGGCCTGCAAGGGATGGTGCAGCAGTCGATGCCCGTTCGCTCTGGTGCCACCACGGCACAGGATTCTGCACCGTGACATCAAGGCAGGTCGACTGTGTGAGGCTTTGGCCACTGAGATTGCGTCCTGAGACCCTGAACGTGTTCCTCAAGACCAACGATGATGTGCGATTGGGTGATCTTGGTGTGGCCAGCTCAGGCTTGACATGCAGCTCGAGCTACAGGGCCATGAAAGCAATCGTATACAACCTGTGCCCATGCAAAACAAGTTCACCGTCATAGCATTTCGATGATGGAGAAGCACTAACCGAACCCACGCGATAATGTGGAGATTAGGATATCGCTGGCCCAACTGCAGCGTGAAAGAACCTTTCGCCTTGTGCATCTTCGTTCCTGTCGCGAAACCTGAGCTGATGCATAGACCATCGACATTTTCCCACTGCCGTGCAAAACCGGGATTGAGAGCCTGAAACCTTCGTGTCACGGATGAAGCGACCATGTGGCCCAAGTCTTGGACGCGAGCGTTTATACGCCTGCGGCATGCTTGGTCCTGCATGCTTGCCTCATCTTGCCTCGAACGTGTACTAATACTCGACGCGGGTGAGCAATGCGAAGGCATACGAAGGCCTTAGTCCTGTTATTTGGTGCATCCTGACGGCAATGTACCCCCAGACCGTGAATGATGTTTGAAGTCTGCGCTTTTACGATTTTTTGGGTGGGTGCTTGACTTTCAGCCACACGCCAATTGAAACCATAACATGCAATTTTTGCTTTGCACAAAGGGCTTTGGAAGGTCTTGAAGGGTGATGTCGAACTGTGCTGGACGACTTCCTTGAATCTCATGTCGGAAGCGGGTTCAAATCTCTTAATTCTAATGCTACGCAGCCCGCCTCGGCCGCCGGCTGCAGTAGGGCCAGCAGGGGCGCAGAGCAGGGGCCAAACTGCGAAGGGCCTCTGAAAGCAGGTGTAATTTAGTTGCAGGGTCAGGGCTACTTGGAGAGGTGTGGCAAGTGTAGAGCAAACACATGCAGCAAAACCCAAGTGCGCAGAAGGGTTGCAGGAATGAGATACAGAAGCAAGGCCAGTGCTTGGTCCTGGTGATGCATGATAAGTCGACGAGTCGTGTGGTCTGGCCGACGACGTGCCTTGGAGCCGGCTCGGTGGGGGCCAGGCCGAAAGAGGAGAAAAGGTTGAAAAAACACGAGAGGGCAGGACAACACGGAAGGGTGGACTGGCCGGCCGGAGGAGGAAGGGGGGGCCAGCAAGAGGGGGAGGGGGGGAAGGAAGGAAAACAAGCCAAAAGAAGTGCAGACAAGACGGAAGGGTGGGAAAAGGGGCCGGGGGGGCGGGGAGGGAGGAGGGCTGGGGGGGGCGAGGGGCAACAAAACAGCAAAACGAGAGCTTCAACGAGGAAGCAGGAAAGAAGCACGCAAACGAAACATAAGAAGAAAAGACAGTGGAGCCGGGGGCAGGCCGAAAGAGAAGAAAAGGTGAAAGAAAACGAGCAGGCAGAAGACAAAAAACAAGGGGAAGCCGGAGGAGGAAGGGGGGGCCGGAGGAGGAAGGGTGGGGGGGAGGGGGGGGGGGAAGAAAACAAGCCAACAAGAAGTGCACGAAAAAGTCGCAATTGGAAAAAACACGCGAGGGCAGGACAAGACGGAAGGGTGGGAAAAGGGGCCGGGGGAAGGCCCGGGGGGAGGGGGGCCGGGGAAGGGAGGGAGGGTCGGGGGGGGGGGGAGCTTCAACGAGGAAGCAGGAGAGCCAAAGCACGCGAACGAAACATAAGAAGAAAAAACAGTGGAGCCGGCCCGGGGGGGGGCAGGCCGAAAAAGCCAAAGCACGCGAACGAAACATAAGAAGAAAAGGCAGTGGAGCCGGCCCGGGGGGCGGCAGGCCGGAAGAGCAGAAAAGAGGAAAGAAAACGAGCAGGATAAAACAAACAACGAGGGGAAGCCGGAGGAGGACAGCAAGATGGGGGAGGAAGGGGGGAGGGGGGGGCAGGACAAGACGGGGGGGGGCCCGGGAGGGGGGCCGGGGGAGGGAAGAGGGGCTGAGGGGGGGCGGGGGCGAGGGGCAACAAAACAGCAAAACGACGGAGCTTCAAGGAGGAAGCAGGAGAGCCAAAGCACGCAAACGAAACATAAGAAGAAAAGGCAGTGGAGCCGGCTCGGTGGGGGGCAGGCCGAAAGAGGAGAAAAGGTCGAAAAAACACGCGAGGGCAGGACAACACGGAAGGGTGGACTGGCCGGCCGGAGGAGGAAGGGGGGGCCAGCAAGAGGGTGAGGGGGGGAAGGAAGCAAAACAAGCCAAAAGAAGTGCAGACAAGACGGAAGGGTGGGAAAAGGGGCCGGGGGGCGGGGAGGGAGGAGGGCTGGGAAGGGGCGAGGGGCAACAAAACAGCAAAACGAGAGCTTCAACGAGGAAGCAGGAAAGAAGCCAAAAACGAAACATAAGAAGAAAAGACAGTGGAGCCGGGGGCAGGCCGAAAGAGAAGAAAAGGTGAAAGAAAACGAGCAGGCAATCGAAAAAAAGACAAGACGGAAGGGTGGGGAACCAAAAAAGGAAAACGAGCGAGGAGGGCAGAGGGGAGGACGGGCCGGAGGGGGAGAAGAGAAAGGAGGGGGTGGCGGGGGGGCGGGGGGGAGTGGGGGCAGGGGGCAGGGGGGGCGGGAGAGGGGGCAAGGGCGGGGCAGGCGGGCAGGAAGGGGGGGCCCGGGAGGGGGGGGCAGGAGGGGGGGAGGCAAATTCGGCAGCAAAAAAGGACGGAAGCCGGGCAAGGGGGTCGAAAACAGTCGCTAAAAACGGGTGGAAGTTTGCATCCGGCTTGCAGGGAGAAGGATTAGGTGTAGTATTAACCATCAAGACGCCAGAGGCCTTTGGCCTCGGCGGATGAGACACGTGCGTAAAGATACATAAGGCATGATTATCACCAAAGGGAAGCCGCTTTTCAATCTGCTCCGGGCTCCAAGGTAGCACGCGTGCTTAGCAACACCAGCTTTGCACACACCTTCGTCTGGCACTTGGCCGAAAATGTCGGCACTGCCAGAAACCATATGAAATTGTAGCCGTGTGCTTGGTTCGAAACTTAGGTTGGAACGCCGTACTATCTGTCCCCCGAGATTTGCGAGGAAAGGCCATACAACGAGTTAAGTGATGTACCAGGCTCGGCGAGTTTGCTAGCAAAGCAATGGCTGAGCGTGCAGCCGAAGAAACCGAGGTTTGGGCATTTGGATGTGTTGTCTACGAGATGTGCACGTTGAGGTCAGCATGCCGGACTTCGCGCATGAAGCCGCATTGTGACTGCTGCCCGATGCTACACCAGGCACCCTTTCGAAGCCAAAAACCAAGCTGCACTGCTCATCAAAATCCTTCGAGGACAGCTTCTTGGTCGCATCTCAGGAGCATTGAGAGGGTGGCTATTCTGGATATATGCATGAACCGTAAGATTACAATCTCAGAAGCTTTAGTGAACACAAGTTGTCTTCTGGTTGCTCTGTCGCACCACGAGCTTTAGGATGGGTTGACCGACACAGGGACGGGCTGGAAGCAGGGTGGGTTACTGGCCGATGGGCAGGTGGACATTCAGGCGCGGTTGCAACATTCCATCAGCGTTGCGGGACACACTGCTGAGCTTGTCATGTTTTCGCTGCGAACACCATGATCGCTAGGCCCGGCATCTTGAAGGGTCAGTGGAGTCGAAATCTGCAGCGCTGCACCAAGGTTTGCTCCCATCCAGGCCTCGTATTCGCAGGACTTGCGCGAGCTGATCGACGGATGTCTGCAGCGAGAGCCCGGAGCCACGACTCAAGCCACGATGAACTAACGAAGCAGCATCCTTGCTGCAGGCTCCACAAGCGCACCAGGCTTGCAGACATCTTTGCCAGATCAGCCGTGCAGCACCAGCCTGATCCAAGTGCAACAGAGTCCCAAGTCCACGGCCTGCCACGCCAAGATTGAAGAATTTAAGGTCTTGGGCTGCTCACCTTGCGATCTCGCTGGTGTGGCTGGATGTTGCTTCCGGCAAGTGACCAATGCGACCACTGACTTGCAGGAAGCCTGGAGCGGTCCTGTCAGAGTACCAACGCAGAGGCCATTTTTGGTGCAGCAGGGAGGGTCGCCATGCCGCTATCTGGGCAGAGGCGGCCTCCACAGCCAAGAGCTGCAAGAGCGGGCTCAACCTCAGCCAAGGTCTCTGTCAAATCCCCTGCCCTGCCAACCCTTTGAAACGCCCTTTTGGGAGGCGACGCAGGCGCAGGCATCGCAGGCGCGCTCCGCCAAGGGCATCCCACGCACAAGGGCCGCGGCCTGAAAAAGGTACTCCGTCCCCGAAAGCCTCGCCGATGGCCCCTCTAAGGTGAGATTAGACCCACGAGCCGGGGCGGGCCGTCGTGAGGCCGAAAGTGCACAGTTTGCAGAGATGCTGCAGCTGGCACGTGGCTGCGCAAAGGAAGGGTCCAAGCAAACACTGGTGGCCGTTTCCGGCATGCTTCAAAGCTAGTGAGCCGTCTCCCGAGCATAAGCACAAGATGTCGGCCAGGCTCCAAAGACTCGAGTCCCAGACAGGAACGCGCTCCTGCTTGCTTTCGCCATGTCGTTTCTTAGCCACCCTATGCAATTCTTGGCAAGGACCCACGTGGCCAAAGGCCATTCCTCGGCCGTGCATTAGATCCTTGGAGCATGCAGCCAGACGGTGGTGACCAGGCATCCAGGATGATGGAAAGGCGAAGCCACCACGATGCGACGGTGAGAAGGCCTTCGTGATAATGTGATGTCTAATGCCCTAAAGTCTTAAAGCCATGTCAAGGCCCGCCTCAAGGCGGAAGTTGCTGAGTTGCCCGACGTGGTTGTTGCTACGGCTCGGACCAGGCGCTGCGAGACGTATCTCAGCAAACTCCCGGCTATCTTCTCGTGGTAAGTTCTCTTGTGCCTCAGTCGGAACGTTCCATCAGTGCAGCCGGCAACTCGGAAAAGTGCGAACGCTTGAAGACCGCAGCAGCGGTCGTGGCAAGCTTCGATCTTCCTGCTGCACCTCTGCCACTGGACCAGAGGCAGCTGTTGAAGATGGATGACTCGCCTGTGAAACGGTTGCTTCAGAGGTGCTCAGTCATGACGCAGATGCATCGTCACATATTCTTGGTATGTTCGATCATCGTTCGTATAGCCGGTTTTGCCATGCTCAGCATTCATTGCATCGGGTCCAGGAATGGTGGCAGGCTGACGCAGGCCCAGCCACGCTCCGCAAAGTTGACTTGCCGTTGTTTGGGGTGGGCGGAGTGGAGGCTGCCTTGCAGGAAGATGCGGAGTTAATTGAAGAAGTGCACCGCTAAGATGCTGTGCGAAGCCTTTGCTGCTGTCACTGCCTGCTCCAATTTGGCCTCCAGTGCATCAGGTAACGATTCGCCCCGAAGACGCAGATCGACAGGCACAGAAGCGACTTGAGTTCGACTTGCAGCGAGTTGTTTCTATGCACAGCATTGGTTCGATTGTAGCTGCGCTGGCATGATTAGGGGCTCCTTGCCTGCATTCTGATCCGGTGTGATCTAGCTGCGCTTCGTCCAGTCCGCTTCTAGCCGTGATGGTGGGGTGCTGGGAAGGCGGGCTGGTGTTTGGATGCAGCACGGGGGATGGGTCCGAGGACGGAGTGCAGGCCAGGACTCCTACAGATTCCAAGCAAACTTGGGCGGTGTACACCAGGGGGCAACCAGGGTTCCGTGCAAACTGCATCAAGATTGATGGTTCGTTACTCGTACCACACCAGCTTAACACCTCTAACAAGACGTTGCCAACAGGATGCAACGACCTCCCCTCGTGATCTCCAGTGCTCCGCCACTGCTTACACGCTTCCGCATCCACAGAATTCCTCTGCCTGCTTAGCAGCCCTCAGGATGGATCTGACGAGATCAGGGAGGAACTGGAAGAGCCCGATTCTGATGGGGATGGCCGGGAGCTTCACGGAGTGCAGTGTGAGAGTTCCGAAAATCCACCTCTTCAAACACGTCGTGGAAGCTCAGGCGATGCCGAAATCACGCACCAGAGCGTCTTCGAGGTCTCTGCGTGCACTGACCATGCATTCTACCTTCCGCGGACAGTCGAAGCGCTGATTTTTACATGATTTCGATCTTGAATCTTTGCTGTGGCTCCTGGTTGGATCATATGCAACATGTTGCTGGAAGCTGCTACCCCAACATGAGCCTAGTGCAATTGCTTACATAATGTAACAGCTGAGGCTTATTACAGGACCAACTTGTCAGGGAAGGCATGTTTGCAAACAATCAACATTTGGGCTGAGCTTTTAGTATGTGTGGCATTGCCCTTATCCTGTTTACAGCGCTTGCTCAGTGGCATTGCCCCTAACCTGTTTACACCGCTTGCTGTATGGTGGTGCTTCTACCGTACGTGCAGCGGTTGTTCTGTGCAGCCGTTGTTATGTGGCATTGCCCTATCCTGTTTACAGAGCTTGCTGTGTGGTTTTGCTTCTATCTTATGAACAGCGGTCACACAGCACTTGCTGTGTTGTTATTAAATCTTATGTACAGCGGCTGCGGTGTGGCATTGCCCCTGCCCTGTTTCCAGCGCTTGTGTGGTTTTGCTTCTATCTTATGTACAGCGGTGGCTGTGTGTCATTTCCCCTATCCTGTTTACTACGCAAAAACGACACAGCACGCTGCAACCGGAGAAAAGCAAGTCCACACGACAACCACTGCACATAGGATAAAAGTAAAACCGCGCGCAGTGAAGCTGCAAATAGCACATGAGATAAAGGCTAAGCCACACAGCAAGCGCTTCTCGTGTAACAGGTTAAAGGCAAAACCGCGCAACAAACACTGAGAACAAGATAGGAGCAATGCCACACTGCAACCGCTGTACATAGGATAGAGGCAAAACCACTAAGATAGAAGCAAAACCAAACAAGCGCGGTAAACAGGGCAGGGGCAATGCCACACCGCAGCCGCTGTACATAAGATTTAATAGCAATACAGCAAGCGCTGTAAACAAGACACTGGCAGGGCCACACAGCAACCGCTGTTCATAAGATAGAAGCAAAACCACAAAGCAAGCTCTGCAAACAGGATAGGGCAATGCCACGTAGCAACGGCTGCACACAGCAACCGCTGCACATACGATAGAAGCACCAATGCCACACAGCAAGCGCAGTAAACAAGATAAGGGCAATGCCACACAGATCATTCAGTCGCATCAGAAGCATTGTACCTTGATTGTAAGGTCGCTGCCTTCAAGGCAGCATCGTCGTGGAAAAAGTTTAACGCTTCTTCGGATGCCAACTATAGTAGGCTTTTTGCTTAAGGTGTCGAGAACAGACATGGTCAGACTCAGACTTCACTACCGTGACCTCGCAACCTGACGGTCCTGATCTTGCGCATCCTTGACAGGACTCCCTTCTCTACACTGGCACATCTCTGGGTGACGATGCTGATGGCAGCCCCACCAGTGTTTGACTTATGTTGCCAGACAGTCGTCAAATCGATATTGTGCCGGCTCTCTGTGCAGTCCATCCCGTAGTTTGCATAGTTGCAGGTCCTTGGTTTGCCCAACATATGGCAATATGCATGATGCGACGCGTGCCCAAGCAAGGTCGAGTTGAGCTTGAATGGAGCGCAGAGGAGGTATCCAGCTCAATCTAGAGTAAGTGGCTGCATAAAGCTTGTCGCGACCGGTGCGGAGGAGCCGTTTGCTCTGACTGCGACACTCGACGATGGACTCCTTTGCGATGCTTGTGACCACCGCTTTTTGGAGCCATCTCGAAAGCAAGAGGCTCGCCTGTTCTTGGTACAAGTTGATCCGCAAACAAGTTGCTCCGTTAGCAAAGTGACTGAACCACCTTCATCGAAAGTATTTTGGTAGCTTATACTTATACATTGGGAACAGGCTTTTCAAGCGCTAGTTAGCAGATTTGTGAACACTTGCCAGAAATGCTATGCGGCGGGGCCTGCCATGGACCCCAAGACCTATAGTATCAAAGGAAAGTCGCCAGGGGCACGGAAGGGGCCACCGACCTGGGGCACGGAAGACGTGCTTTGTCCATGTGGCCCATGCGCTGAACAGCGGGATCGGTGGCATGGAGAATCACTGCGAACGACACCGACTGCAATTTCGCCAAAAATCGTGTGTCCTTTAGTCTTTGTTACAAGAGCCCTGTTGACTTGCAGGGGCTGCGCGAGGGAATGCAAAATAAACTCCACATTCGTAGTTTTTCTTAAAGTGCAGGGCTTGGAAGAGAGCGAGACGAGTCTCGGCTGCCTCGTGTAGTGGAGTCCATCCTGCCCAACTAAAGACTACCATGCCAGGAAGTGCAAAGCATCAACCGCTTCAGGTCTGGAGTTTTCTTCCCGTGCCTCAAACTTTTTGCAGCAGACACTTATCTGTGATCGAAAAGTAAACCTCTGAAGAGGGCACCTGAGCGTCATCGAATTGCCATATACAGTAAGCTGCTGTAGGTATCTAGGCAGAAACAGAAGCGACACGACTTGCACAAGCAAAAGTTGTGATTACTTTATGACACTGCAGCTGCTTGTTAGGGCAGAAGCTTTTCGACTGCTGACCAGGCAGACGTTGAAGACGAAGGCTCAAGAACCTCACATCCGTCTCCAGTTGTGGAGGCGCCCGGAAGCGAGTGGCTGCTGCTAAAACATACGCAACATCCAGAATCAGCAGGGGTCTCGCCATCAGTTTAATTTGCAGTGGTCATGAGAGATAGACTCACAAGCATTAGAGACTTGCGTTGCGAAGTCTGCGTCCCTAACTTCGGCAGGGCATTCCCGCGAACAAGAATCTCGCAGGAGCTGGAGCCCACAGTGGAGGATCAGCCTCTTTCGGCTTCGGACAGCAGGCTATTGAGCGAAGCTGGCCGAGCGGAAGCTGAACTTGCGAGAGTCACTTCCCAAATCAACAGAGTGTGCCCTTCATGTAGACAACGCTTTGCGGTATCATTGATCGAGCTCTCGGATCCTGAAAGGTACTCGGGTGTGGCTCGAGACCTCGATAGTGGCGCTCGCGCGGTTTGGGATGAGCTGTATGCGCTGTTTCAGGACATCCGATTTTGATTTCGCAACTCACATCGCAGATCTCGCATCGCTGCCTTAGATGTGCGATTTTGTTGAAGATCCTGAGTTGGAACCCGACTCCCAAATGCTGAAGACAGTTGTGGACCTGGGGCAGGGCGAGATGCGATGCAAAGCCGGCTCGGGGCCTAACAAGCTTCCAACAACAGCAAATGCCGATCAAGAACACGACTCGTCTCGTCAGTGGCCTTATCATCGCTATAACCAGATGCGAGCCGTGCCGAGCTGTTGCCATAAACTAGACATGTGGCGAGCGGATGATCATGTCGCCTCTGCGGATTGACCCCTAAGACTTCAGCAATTCGACCCTGGAAGCAATGCGATAGGCCAGGTCTGGAAAAGCCTGCCCATGATTTTGACCAGAGCTGTGTGTTAAGCAACGCCACGCCGAAATCACTATTCATTCATATCATGTCATAGGGAAGCAGGGACAAAATTGAAAGCCAACACCGTAAATCCAGCAGGTTTGAGTTTTGAAGTTATACGTGTTTGAATACACTTCTCTTTTTCGAACATGCAATTGAATGAAAACTTGATACTGAAATGGTAGTTGTTCAGCAGATAGCTGTTACGATGAGCATTTAGTAAATTTAGTAGTTAGCGTGCGCATACTTGTTTAAGGAGGCGTGTTCATAAAACAAATTGGTGACATTTAGTACATTTATGGTATCTACCTACTTGTACATATATGTATATGCATATGTATATATATATAATATATATATATATATATATATATATATGGTAACCCCCCCAAGAACTACTTACCCTCGTCTTGTATCGTAAATACCGTGCCAAGCCAGCTTCTCCGGAAGGTCAGGATTCTGTGTCTCTCATAGACTACCGAAATCAAGCTCACATTTCAAGAGAACGTGCCAGTCAACTCGCTCAGGTTTGACGTGAAGTCCGGATTCAGTATTTCTCAAAGACTACCGAAGTCAAACTCACATTTCAAGAGAACGTATCAGTCAGCTCGTTCAAGGTCGACGTTTCGACGTGAGCACACGCTTAACAGCAACATTGTGCTCTTCCTCCCAAAACTAATAGGGGAAACCAAAACACAAAAAAACAAAAACATCTTTTGGGAGACTATGTGGCCAGACTTGAAAAAGATTGTTTTTTGGTTTTCCCTAGGAAAAAAAGTTTTTGGTGGAAAAACCAACTTCTTCCTAGCAAAAAAATTGTTTTTGGTGGAAAAACAAATTTTTTACTAGGGAAAAGATGGTTTTGGGCGGAAAAACCATTTTCCTAGGGAAAACCAAAAAAATCAAAACAAAAAAATGTGAAACTATACGGCAGGACTCCAAAAAGATTGTTTTTTGAGTTAATCATACTCGAGCCCCAAGCACCTGCATGATGTAGCTAAGATGTCCTTGTAGAAGGTAGATGAAGAGCAGCTTGACGCACACGAACGTATTTGGCTCAAGTAAAAGAAGTGCTGTGAGTGCTTGCATTTGCTTGTTTTGTAACACGACGGGTTTACTTCGTGTTCAACTGGTTAACAGCCTCAGCATTTCATATCATTCACTGTGGTCGTCTAGGGAGAGCCTAGGACCCCTGCGAGCCATAGTGCCCCGCGTGCAGGCCTAGTGTCTGTGCATTCCATATCTGAAAGCAACTAGCGAGGTTGCGTGAAATCGGTTCGCCGTAGGTCTAGTGAGAGACCTGCCCATCCTCCATACCACTTTCCGTATCCTGCACTGTCAATCTCCTGGGGTTAGAGCCAGAACCCTACAGTTGAGATCCCAACCAGAGCGTACATCGCAGCCTGGTTTTGCACATTATCTGTGAGGTCCAAATCTGCCGCGTGATTCGCCTGCCTGCTCAGGCATCCGCGTGGTAACCTTCTTCGGGTTTCTCAAAGCCCTGCCTTAGCACCTCTCCCGTAGTCCCGTTCACGGACGAAGGAGGCCAGGCCTTGTGGTGCAACAGGCGATCCAGTAGAGAACAGAACACAACCGCAACGTGTCAGGAGTGCGATTGCATCCCAGCAACCCTCCTGTAAGAGTTCCGCTGAGATTGGAGGTTGATTGAGATTTCTGGTTTGGGTTAGCGTGGGTGTTTCCCGTGCTCGGCCTTTGAACCGCTTCCTCAGTCCCTCATCCCAGCTGTAGACTGCCTCGGCAGCACAGCACAACAGCCAAAGGCAAACAAAGAATCAATTCCAAATCCCTTCGGCTCTCAGTCTGATTTTCTTGGATTTCCCCGCTGCTGCTACTCTGCTGCCCTTGGGCCATTGTATGCATCAGCCGAAAGCAGTAACTCCAGAGGAGCGATTGGAGCTCAAGCACGTTCTTCTTCTTAACGCTGAAAAGCGCGGGGGCGAGAGCGGCACCAATCGCCGAGCGAGGAAGTCGCTGCACTTGAAGATCGTAGGAGGCTTTTTGGCACAACTGGAGCAGCTTGAACAGGAGGTCGGCGCTTTGCACCCGGTGGACGCTTCTAATAAGCAGGTAGCACTGGAGTACATTGATTGGTTGAAGGGCGGTAACTTTCCCACGCATCACCAGCCACTTCCTGAGTTTCAGACGTCGCCAGTTGGACCTCCTCTCTTCCCTGTCGTTCCTAGTGCTCCATCTTCTTCAGTGACTCCAGAGACTCCCGACAATAGAGCCGTCACTGATAATAGAACCTCCGGGGCTGTACCCGTGAGCGAGCCACGCGAGCCACCGTATCCACCGCCTTCGATTCGTGCCTTGGGTACTAATTCAGAAAGGGTTGCGGGATCTTCAGGGCTAGAGGCTTCCGGGTCGCTAAGTGTTCTTCCGAGTGGGAGAAATTTGCCGCCCCAGCCTCCTGTTCCAAAAGCTAAAACAGGAGTCACGCCATCTACTGCACCAAACGTCGGACCATATCTCACGCTCGGACAGCGAGCAGCGGTTATCTCACCTAACAATCCGTTGCTTCGTGTGCGGTCGAGATCTCCACCACGGTCCTCTTCGATCCCATCTGGATCGGCAGGTAGCGGGGTTGGACCCGAGAGGGAGCGCGAGGCAGCCGAGGAGATTCTTGAATCAGCCGAGGAGGCTGCGGAGGAGTCTCTTGATTCAGGTGCGGCTGCAAGCAGCGGGGTTGGACCCGAGCGCGCGACAACAGGCAGCGGGGCTGGACCCGAGAGGGAGTTGAGGTTCCGACCTGTGGCGCGTCAGGTGACTTCGCTTAAGGTTGCGGAGGGATTGCTTCCGCCGGGTACTTCTGTGCTGCTGTCATTGGACATTCATTTGGTCGCTGACCGCGACGAGGCGAGGACATCTGCGTGCCTTGAGAGACTCTTGCGAGAGCACTCGGACTTGGCTGTGATTTTCTGCTCGTACGCGGTGAAGCAAAAGACCATTGATAAGGCGGTCCAGTGTATCCACCGTATTTGTGATCGGACGATTGTGCGGCGCCCTTTGACCTTTCCCATTTTCTTCACGACATCCAAGATTGCGCCGGGCACAGGCAAAGGAGCACAATTGTCTAAGTTGGCGGATATCTTTAGCCGGTCGCGCCCCGCTCCACTGACTTTTTTGTATCACGTGGACGATCAAGATCCGATTTGCAAGAACGTGACATCCTACGGCCATCACGGTGTGCATTGGGCGGAGGAGGACCCGCGTGCTTTGGATCAGATCGTGTGGGAGCTCTGCTGGCTCTAGCCGCCGACTGGCAAAACAGAAAGGCAGAGGAAGACTGCAAACGCAGCTCCTCGGGTTTGGGTTCGTGTTGAGGGTCAACTTTGACGGTTGGGGTGAAGTATTTTTACAACCCTTAGACCTCGGTTGAACCGCTGTTCCCATAATGCCTCTAGCATCACAACTGGGATTCGAAGAATCCTCACTGGAAATTTCATCGTCAAGCACGCCCCCTAGGGCTCAAGCACTTAGCGTGCGCCCGGAGGCAGCTAGGCAGTCGGATTCATCAAGTTCGGGGCCGATTCGGAGGAACCGGGCTAGATCATTGTCGTATGGACCCGCATCGAGGTCTTCATCCCTGCAATCGGCACCAACCTTTGCAGCGAATGTTGGCCCTGCCCGTAGTCAGAACCCAACCGGCCCGAACACGAGCCATCAGGAGTTGCACTTGCATCAACATGCCCATCGGCAGCAGGTCCTTCAGGTTGGGGTTGACCCGGTAGCCCATGCGAACATGCAATCCGAAGCAACATCAGCCATCATGAACGCCAGACGCAGCCTGATCCGCGCCATTTTGGGTAGAGCTCGCGGGGATAGCCGATGAAGGGATGCTTGGGTTCTTTGGTTCGGCAGCTTGCACATGCGACTGAAGCGCGATTAGCTGCTGATGCATAGCCTTAGATAACTCTTGCTGCTCAAGGATCATCTTAGCTTGCTTTTCGAGTCTCTGGTTGAGCTCACGGTTCATCTCCCCTAACTGTTGATTCTCAGTTCGGAGGTTTCCGATCACCGTTTCAGCTTCACCCTGAATCACCGAAGCGCGTGAACCCAACTGCTGGTTTTCGGACCTTAGCGCCTGTATGGCGGCATACGACTCACCCTGAATCGCAGCGGCCTGGGCACCTAGCTGTTGGTTCTCTGATCTTAGAGACATTCAACGCATTGCAGGCACTCGCGGGTGAAGTTGGGGGAACAATGCGAAGGATTGAACAGGCAATTGAGGTAGCCCTTAGTCCCAAAGCCAAAGCAAAGAAGCAGAAAGCTAAAGCCGAGGCTACAGCTAGGGCCATTGCACCATCAGTTGCGTCTCCAATTCCCGCTAAGGCTTCCGGTTCTAGTGGTTCGGTTGCCCCGGGTCCGGTTGAGTTTGGATTGCCACCGTACCAATGCAGCCGTAAGAGCATCTTCACGGGTAGATTGCATTCCGCAACACCCGCTTCTCCACCTCCTCCACCACAGAAGCTAAAGCCCCAAGTCTTCGACATAGCAGATGAAGATGACTTTGATGAGCATGGCGAAGATGAGGGTGATGAGGACGGAGAAGATTTCGAGGATGATCCAATCGTCCCCGTTGCGGCTCACGAGCCTGAAGATGACAGAGATTACGAGTCTAGCATTTATAAGTACAAAGACCTGAAAGACATCAAGCTTCCCCAAATTCCGGGTTCTAGCGTTGAGTTCAGGGCTTACCGCAATTCGGTGCTAACACAGATTGCGTCAATCGATTGCAGCGGCAAAGCCGTCCTGTTGAAGTGGCTTCAGAAGAGCCTTGATCCATCAGGGAGCATTGCATTGACACGGTCGCTTCAGCAGGATTGCGAGGGTTTGCCTAGACTTGATGGGTGGATCTCCGCATGTATCAGTGATGCGAAACACCTAAAAGGTGAATGGGGATTGCAAGCGCAGTCGTACTTGGAAAGGTGTCATGCGTCTGGAACGATGCCATCGGGTCGTGCACTCTTGTCCATTCTTAGCAGAAGATACCGGATAGATAAAGTGCGCGGGCCATTGGTGACACTACAATCCTTGTTCGATTTAGAACCTGACTCATTTTCCTACCAATCGCTTGTAGCCTTCAAACAACGCGTCGAGTACGTGTTGAATGGCTTACCGGAGCGGCAATGGCCAGATGCCGAAACAATGTTTTCCTGGATCTACTCACGGCTAAAGGGTTGCAGGATGCTTTCACGCACAATTGATCGGGTCAAAGATGCCAAGCCGGGTTCAAAGCGTAGGACATTTGAGTACATTTGGAACGGGCTCGAAGAGGTTCTTGCAGAAGTGCGCGAGGATCGTAACGAGCAAGCGCTCAAGGATTCGCTCAAAGAGGATTCCAAACAGAAGCCGAAACCAGATGCAAATGCGAAAGCAGCCGCGGCCAAGGCTACGCCCGCCGCTCCTGCTGCAAAGGCAAATGCAAAGGCTAAGGCCAAAGGCCAAGGCAATGACAAGCCCCCGAAGGCCCCGAGCAAAGCAACTCCAGGAGTCACCGACGCCAATCGTGGTGCCGGTGAGGGTGCCAACAGGGACAAAGGCAAAGGTAAAGGGAAAGGCGGAGGTAAGGATGGCAAGGCTAAACCTCAGAAACCTCCAGCTGCAAAGGATTCGTCAGCTGAACAATCCGGCCAAAGGCCAGCGTGCTTCTTCTATCCAAAAGGAACATGCACTAGGGAAAGGATTGCCCTTTTGAGCATGTAGATGCACCAAAGAAAGCTGCTCCATCAAAGGCCGCCCCAAAGGTGCCTGCCGGAGTCGCCATGTTAGCAGCCGCGTCGACGGGCGCGAGCGCATGCAACATCCCTTCATCATTTGTCCGCGGTTTCAAAGCCACATGTCGCTTGATCACCGCTCCCTTTCGTGTGTTTGCCCGCTTTGCGGCAGCACTTTCATTTGCATTGCCCGCAACCGTGCATCATTCGCATGATCGCATTGCCGCGACAGTCAGTAGACCTAACTGTTCAGGGGGGTCGTACTTCCTTGATTGGGTTGCTGATTCTGGGGCAGGGAGAAGCCTGCTAAGCCAATCCGCGCTTGCAGATCAGGGCATTTTGACTGATATGTTCAGCGATCACATCCGGTCAACCAAGCCGTTGCAGTTTGAAACCGGGAATGGTGTGACGAGCAGTGGCACCTTCCTTACTACAACGAGCGATGCCTTTGGATCAGTAGAATCCTATGTTCTGCAAAGCTGCCCGGTAGTGCGGTCTTTAGGCCAACTAGTAGAGTTGCAGCGAAAACCTTTCGTTTGGCTTCCTGGTAGCATGCCGTTCTTCGGTAGTGACGAAGATTGCGTCCAGATCACTTGGGATTCGGATCGTGTCATTTATGCCCATAAGGTTGATGACTATGTTCCGGTATTTCGTGAGCAGATCAGGTTTGGTGGTGATGGTTTGCACAGAGCCTTAGCCGCTGGTGAGTCTGCTCCGGCAGCCCCAGCAGAGGTTCCTGCGCCCGCTGTCCCAGCAGAGGACCCTCCTCTCCCAGCTCCCGCAGCACCCCCTCCACCTGATCCAGGGGAAGGTTCCGGTGCCGACGATGAGGGTGATGAGGATGCACCAACCAAGGCTCAGCGGCTAATCACTGAAGCCCAGAGTTTACAGCATCGCTTAACGCATATGCCAAAGAACCCCTACTGTGATGTCTGCAGTCGGAGTCGAATGCTAAAGAAGCGAACGGCGAGGACGCGCTATGCAAAGTGTGATGATGAGTTAGATCCGGTTGAGGAGTTCGGTCAACGGATAGCGGCTGATTTCATCATAGTGCACAAAGACGCTAAAAGCACTGAAACCGTCGTCCTGACTGTGAGGGATGAGGCTACAGGGTACATAAGAGCTTTCCCGCTAGTGTCCAGGCACGAAGACGGGGTGGTACGATCATTGTTATCCTTTCTCGGTAGGCGCGCTTCTGGACCTTGTGTATTGTTCAAGAGCGACAATGCGCGAGAGCTCCTCGCCGCATGTGCGACGTTGGGGTTTACTTCAGAACCAAGCCTTGAGCGTAGATGGCCTCACAACTCAGTTCTCGAACGGGAGATCCGTACCATCGAGGAGTGTACAAGGGCTCTCCACATTGCGGCCGGTTTTCAGTTGCATTCGGGTCTTTGGGTTCACACTGTTCGCTATGCGGCACACACCATTAACCTTTTCCACCCTGCGGTCGGGATTGAGGGTTGTCGGTATGCGAACGCGATTGGATCCGAGTTTGGTGGCATGAAATTACAACTTGGTCAACTAGTCTATTACAGACTTGACCCGGCAAACCGTGAGAAGTTTCAGGCATCAGCAGCACCTGGTGTTTTCGCAGGTTGGCGGTTCGATAGCGGTCCATCATCATTCAGAGAAGTCTACTATGTCTTGGATTATGGTAAGCTAAAGAACCGTGAACCGGGGTACGAAAAGGCGATCTCCGTCCCTAGAGAGGAAATCCACGTTCCCCGCGGCAATCCCATCCTCCCGATGTTCACCGCTGCAGAAGCTGCTTTGTCTAGTTTCACGAAAGCCGAGTATGAAGCCATCGAATTTCTTGATGTGCCGTTCAGCACGGTAGCGCCGTCAACACCCGTTGCCAAGCGCCACGAGTACATTACTTTGGACAGACTTATGCGACTAGGTGCAACACCTGGTTGTAAGGCCTGCAAGTTCGATGGAACAGTACACACGCCAGTATGTAAGGCAAGATTTGATGGTTTGATTAAAGCCGAGAAGATTGCCGCGAGCAAGTCAGTCAGAGACGCTGCACCGCCTGATGTTGAGCGCCCTGATCCTTTGGCGGAGTCTGCACCCGCAGCCCCCGAGGGTGATGAGGATGCTCCAGAGCGCGCGAGCTCCTCTGCTGGCCCACGGGCTCCAGCTGGTGTTGCAGTTCAGTCTTCCGAAAGCAAAGTTCCAACAGGTGAGTTTGGTTTGAGTGCAAGGTTTCTCGCAAACGAGAGAGCGCGTAACAACACCAGAAGGGTGAAGGAACTTCCAGGGGAAAATGTTCTTATCGAGTACGGTTGTGAAGACGAGTCTGAGATAAGAGATGCTTGTGAACGTTGTAAGGTTCATTGTGTTAGTCTGTCCCAGTCAACGCTGGACTTGACTTCGCAGGATGACATGCAGCAAGTTGTTTCCCAAGCAATCCCAGGTGTAGATGCTTGGTTCACCATACCATGCACACATATGTCTTCACACCAAGCCGTACATCGTGAGTCCCAAAGTCCCAAGTACGCGCGAAAGATTGCACAAAGGCAAGCAACATCCAAGCGAATGTTGGTTTTGGCCCTAAATGTTGCCGACCATATCATTGAGCAGGGGGGTCGGGTTTCGTTTCAGTGGAGTTCTGATTCGGGGGTGCTTGTGCAGCCTGAGTGGATCGACTTCGCTTCGAAACACGAGCTCTCCAGTGTAGCCTGTGTCAGCGGTAACAAAGCCACCACCATTGCTTCGAACTCCAAGCGAGTACTGGAGCACTTCGCAAAGGTGTCAACGAAGGAGTCATCAGAGATCAATGCAACCAACATCAAAGCGTATGAGCTTGCGGATCTCGTGATACAATCCTTGTTTCCCCAGAGGTACTTCAAAAGTGTCCCCAATCTTGGTAAAGCTAGCGCGCTTATCACCAAGAATCTCTCTCGCCGAGAATGGCAAGCTGAGCCGAAGGCGCTTGAAGCCATCGCTCAAGAAGCTGAGGGGTTGCGCCGAAACGGCACATGGGATGACACGACGGCCATGCCTTTGCATGAGTTGAGAAGTCAGGCTAGGTCTCAGGGACGCAAGCTTCGCGTCGCAGAACTGATGACCTTGTGCGGGGTAAAGCATGCCGAACTTGCACCTGAATTTCAAAAGTTCAAAGGGAGAATTGTTTATAGAGGGGATAGGGTTTTGGATGAGTTTAACAATCTGGTTTTCTTCGAAGAGACCAGTACGACTCCAACGGGGTTAATAGCCTTGAACGCCTCCCTCTTCTGGGGTTGCTTACCGGAGCACTCTGTGTCATGCTCTGACGCAATCCAAGCATACCTCCAATCAGAGCTTAAAGAAGAGACATACGTAATCCTGCCAAGGGAGTTGTGGCTCCCTGGTTGGGAGGAGCGTTTTGGAGCGCAAGCGCGAATAGTCGTTCGACTTCGCAAGAGCTTGTACGGCCACCCACAGGCCGGACGGCTCTGGCAAGAGTACTTGTCTAGGATTTTGATCTCATTAGGCGGAAAGGAGTCCCAGGAGTTTCCAAGCAACTGGTTCTTTGAGTACAAGGATGGGGTTCTCATCTTAAACATTTACGTCGATGACTTGAGTTTGTGCGGATTAACAAAATTGCACACGCCATTTTGGCAAGCGTTGAGGGCGAAGGTCAAACTTGATCCCGAGTGTTTCATAGGTTCTGAGGGTGTTCGGATCTTAGGTAGACTGCATTGTCGGTACGATGAACCATCGTCGACCACAATGGCTTTTAGGATGCCTGAGTATGCTGAGCAGATTGTCCAAACCTATTGCGAGATCACCGGGACAACGCCCGACAAGCTTCGTCGAGTGAACACGCCCTGCATCGCTGAATCGTCAATGACCGACGAGGATATCTCAGCGCAAGGCGAGCTCCACGATTCAGCATCACGCATCTTGATGCGCTGTTTGTGGTTAGCTCGTCTCTGTAGAGCTGACATCGCATTTGCTGTAACTCGCCTAGCTTCCAGGGTCACTCGGTGGACCGCCTGGGAGGACAGACAAGTGCTTAGACTTGTGTCGTATATTCATCACACCAGAGATGTTTGCATGAATGCCAGTTGCTCTTGGGATGCCGCTCCCGAGCTACGGGTGTATACAGACGCTGACTTCGCAGCCTGTCCCTACACTTCACGTAGCACGTCCGGGATTGTAGTCCACATAGGCACAGGTCAGCATGCATTCCCTGTGATGTGGCAAAGTCGCAAGCAAACGTCTGTTGCGAGGTCGACGCCAGAGGCCGAAATGATCTCAATGGCATCAGCCATGTTTTCAGAGGTCATAAACCTGCAGACGTTCTTACAGTCAGCCTTCAAAAGCACAGTGCCAATCATCTTCTTCCAAGACAACGAAACTGTTTTGGCCATCCTGAAGTCAGGATACAGTCCAAAGCTTCGCCACTTAGGGCGCGTGCACCGCGTAAATGTGGCAAGTATGGCAGAGATCTTTGAACAAGAAGATTTTTCGGCTACTTACGTGAACAGCAAGGAGCAATTAGCTAATGGTTTGACTAAGATCATCCCTCCTGCTGAGTGGTCTGATATGCTCACACAGTTGTGCCTTCACGAAGGTGTCCCTCACAGTGCGACCGTCTCAAAGGTCGTAGCTGAGGAAGCAGAGCGTTTTGCAAGCTCACTGCCCAGGAAGATCACACAAGAAGACCTTGTGCAGCTTTTGTCGTACTTGCCAGGGGAGAGCGCCGTGCGCCCCTCTGCAAGCGAGGCAATGTGCTTCACCACCGGTTGCCTAAGCATAAGTTTACGGCAGTGATGTTGGCCAAGAATCAAATTACTTTGACTCATAAGGATTCTTACAACGAGCCATGCAGCAAGAACGCTGTAATCCCACTTGAAGTGTTCGAGGGGGGCCACGTGTGGGTGCAGTCACAAGACGGTGGCTACCCATGCCCAGACCTCAGCCGAGGTGAGAAGGGCGAGATCCTTAAATGGCCAGCGATCTTCGATCCAAGACGGTTACATGCAACGACCCCTTGCACGAAGGGTGACAGAATCGTCATAATTGCCTTCACACCTAGAAACGTGAGCAGGCTGCCCGTCGACAGCCAGCTGAAGCTGCGAGAGCTTGGATTCCACTTCTAATCGGAGTGGCAATTCCACCAAGTAGGTAGTCTGCGTAACTAAGTTCAGTGTAGCGTTTCACGCTGTCTTCAAGGGGGGAGTTAATCATACTCGAGCCCCAAGCACCTGCATGATGTAGCTAAGATGTCCTTGTAGAAGGTAGATGAAGAGCAGCTTGACGCACACGAACGTATTTGGCTCAAGTAAAAGAAGTGCTGTGAGTGCTTGCTTTTGCTTGTTTTGTAACACGACGGGTTTACTTCGTGTTCAACTTTTTGTTTTTTCCTAGGAAAAAGTTGGTTTTCACACCAAAACCATTTTTTTCTAGGAAAAAGTTTGTTTTTCACACCAAAACCATCTTTCCTAGCAAAAAATTTGTTTTTCACATCAAAACCTTTTTTTACCAGGAAAAAGCTGGCTTTTCCACCAAAAAACCATTTTTTTCCTAGAAAAACAGAAAAACCAAATTTTTTGGAGTCTGGCCACATCGGTTTTTTGGTTTTCTTTAGGAAAAAGTTGGTTTTCGGCCCAAAACCATTTTTTCCTAGGAAAAACATGGTGTTTCACACCAAAACCATCTTTTTCCTAGGAAAAAGTTTGCAGTTGGGTAATAACCAAGACAATATTCGGGTCAACTGTGGGTCGATAGGGAGCTGGTTATCACAGCTACCGCTGGATGTCTTCTTCTAGTTGACTGAAGTTGCAAATTAAATAAGAAACATTGGGGTCAGATTCTGGGTGGTACTAAGCTTACTATGGATGGCCTTAGGGCTGCTGTCAGGGCGATTATTACGGTCACCATTGACATAACGGCGAATGACAAGGATATGCTTATGGTTGATGTTGTTTGGAAACAAGAGTCAGCTAATGATCTTCATCACGATGTCGGTACCTAATACAGGCTCAACGTGATTCTTTACATGTATGTGTATATAGACACATAAATGTACATACCGCATACGGGCAAGAGTCTGACAGTGAGAAAGGGAGCGCCATGTACTATATGTTGAGGTAAACAAACAAATGCTGGTATAATCCCTAAAAATCGAAGGGCCATCCTTTGCGGAACACCAGAGCGAAGACAGCAAGGATCGGGGTTCTTAATGGAATCCGTTTCGCGTAGTTTAATAGTAGCATGGATATGACGGCAACCGTTGAAACAAATGTTTGGGCAGTACTTAGCTTACATGTATCAATATTACAGAAGGGACTGCCATGGGGCCTGGGTTTTTTTGCACAGCCAGTGTTTTGCACTTTTTGCACTACTTGCCGCTCTCTAATATTAACAGTAACCAGTCATTGGCTTTTAACTTCGGAGAGTTGAATGGGAACCCACAGCTACATCTGGATGCACTAACCTGTTGATGAGGCCAATGGCCATTATGTGGGTTGCAGGTGAAGGAAATATCCGGCACAAGGAACAGTTTATGGGTAATATTAAGTTTGCGGGTAATGTCCATCTTGGGGGGACGGCAATATCCTTACTATCAGGGGGCCAGTCAAACTGATGAATGTGATTGTATTAACCTTGTATTAACCTTCAGCTCGGCATGAGAGTTGATATGGAGATGTATACATAATGGGGTTACAAGTCGACATAACATGTTGATCCATACGAACTAAGACGTGAATCTATAAGGCACCATTTGTGGGTAAACATAAAGTGGAAGACTACTGTCACCATCGGCGCCAATGCAAGGTCTAATGGCAGGGGTAGTCTTAGGATATTGTTGTTTAGGAATAGGAGTCAGTCAGTCAATGCTCACGGTCATTCATACGTATTGCTGGGGCTTGGATCAGAAACTGTAGTGCAGGCTACGTTGGGAGTTAACGCTCGTGCCCATATTGAGCTTCGGGTATTCCGACAGATATGACTTTCATCGTTGGGAAACCATATGTCAGAGTATCTGTGTGAGGGGTCACAACAATTGAGGATGAAGGCGGCTGCCGATATGCCTTTGCTGTCCCCTCCGAACTTCAATATTTAACACTAAGCCTGGATCATACAATAGAAGCATAAACCCAGGAGGATTGGTGGCATTATCGCGGCACCTCCGCGGTAGTTCTTCGGGGGGGGGGTTAGCGCTATGGTAACCCCCCCCAAGAACTACTTGCCCTCGTTTTGTGTCGTAAATGCCGTCTAACACTAAGCCTGGATCATACAATAGAAGCCTAAACCTAGGAGGATTGGTGGCATTATCGCGGCACCTCCGCGGTAGTTCTTCGGGCGGGGTTAGCATATATATATATATATATATATATATACACATATCTATATCTATATTTGTATAGTGCGCATATATGCATATATGTATTCTAATTGTCGGTCTGGTAGGTAGGAATCGGGCTGTCAGTTTAGCGATCGCAAGAACACCCTTTCCCTGATTGTTCAAACCCGTGGCCAGTTTGGCGATTGACCGATCGGGCCGAGTTTTCGATCGGCGGCATGGGCAACAGTTGGATCCTTCGGCTGCAGCAATGTCGTTACCACCAGCTGGACCGTATCGCGGCCAGCAAACCTCTCAGCAACTGTTCCCCCAGTTCGGGCTGCCACGACGACTGCCCCCGAACGAGACTGTCAGCACTTGGGACTCTACACTCCGGGACAGGCCAAAGCTCCGCAGAATCCTGCAGCCCCTTGTGCCGCAACCGGAGAGCTTAAATGTGCTCGAAGGCAGGTCGCAGGCGTTGCGTGCCCGGGCCCGTGGTTGCGATTCATGGTCCGGACTCCGACGTGGCGCTCGGAGCCTTCCTTAAGGGCCGCACCAGCTCGCGATCACTTCTCCCTGAAGCAAGCCGCGGCGCTCCAAGTTTCATATGGACTTTATCCTGGACTGCTGTTCTGCCCCACGCCTTTGAACAAGTCGGATGCTCCGACTCGGTGCAAGCCTTTGCCGGCGCCTGCTCCTTCAAGCCCTGCCGCCTCTTTGAGACTTGCGGACCTTTACGCCCTCTCTTCCCTGGGCGGCCTTTCCATTCCATTGGCCTTCTCTTGCCCCGGCTCGGATGGCTCCTCCCTCCTTGAGGCCTCATAGCCCTAAGGTTTAAAGACGATGAGCTTGCCAGCTTGCCTCCTGACCCAGAGAGTGGAGAAGCTTTTGTCGTCGAGGCCCTCTACTCGTGCCACGCGACTCAAGGGATCTGGCTCGTGCTCAGGCGCGTCAGGGCACGCAGCTTGCGGAAGACAGGCCGGTCTTGGAGAGGACGTCGAAGAACAGAGTTTTTCTGTTTGGCCTTTTCGCTCAGTGGCTGATCACGTGTGGCCTTTTGCTCGAGGACCTTCTTGACATCCGTAAGGCAGATGCTGAGACTGTAAACCTCTGGCTCGTGAGCTATGGCAGGCAGTTGTTTGAGAGTGGTCGGCTCTACTGCCATTATGCTGAGACCATGAACGGGATTGTTTCGCGAAAACCAATCCTGAAAAGATCCCTTCAAGCAGCCTGGGACCTGGCTTTTTCTTGGATGGCCCTCGAACCCTCCATGCACCATGTGGCCATGCCAGCAGTCGTTCTGCTGAGCACGCTGACCTGGTATGGGGCTGGTCGAAGGAGGCTGGCCTGTTTGCCCTCTCTTGGGGAAGCCTGCTCAAGATCGGCGAAGCTCCCTCTACCATGGTCTTGCCCCAGGACGTCCTCTTCTCTCAGCGCCACGTTTTGGCAAGGATCGGATAAGGATGGCACGTCGCCAAGCGGCACGTGTGGAGCAGTCAGACTTGGTGCAACTGACCCCCATGGCGTTCGGAGACTGGGCACCACAGTGCAAGCTGTGGCCCCAATGCTCCCAAACTCTTCGTCACCGTTATGACCTGGTGCTGGAACGTTTAGGTATCAGCACGGCCCGCACGAAGCACCGCCCTCTGGATCTTGGGTCGTTCCGCCCAGGCGTCACGGCTCGAGGCAAGCTGATTGTGGTAGTTCTCCGATTTGGTGTTTCACCACTTTCCTTGCCATACCTGACCCCAGCGATCCTTCGCGCCGAGTGCTGCTCTTGGTAGAGCTCACTCACGGCCTGTGGCCTTTATTGCTGCCTGGTGACAGCTTTGGAGAGGGCGCTCCTCTCCCCCCAAGGGCCTCGCCCCGCTGCTTTTCAATAAGCCGTGGCTTGCTGCCTTTGGTATATTTTATTCTGCCCCTCGGGGTGTATGACTGCTCGGCGCATCTACACTCCTCTCCTGCCACTGGCCTTGGTTGGGTTTTTGCTGATATTCTGGGGAAGCTGCCAACCTGACAAGGCGCCGCCCGCGGAGCCCCGCGTGGCATCGCAGAGCCCGCAAACAGCGGGCACAGGCACGCCGCCGTCTTCATCGCGGACGTGGACAACCGGGAGATCGGGCCCTCCTTCAGGCCCATCACGGAAGCATGGCTCCGAAGGCCAATGCAGGAAGCAACCAGGCCTCGGCAAAGGGCGGTTCCAACAAGGGCAGAGACCGCCAGGAGGCCCAAGTCACTTGCATCGACTTTGGCCTCCCTACCTCCATGGTTCAGACGTTGCAATCGATTTCGTCGAGAGCAACACAGGACCTTTGGGGACAAGGAGCTTTCTCGACAGATGGTGCAACAGTGGAACAGTTGGCACAACGCACAGCCAACACCCTGGGCCGCCTTTCCAAAAGACTCAATGGCAACATGCGAGCCAAGAAGGACCTGCAGGATGCGCTGACGGCCTGGGTTTCCATGATCAGCCAACATCTGCTGGGCCTGACGCATCGAGTGGATGCCCTGTCCCGCAAGGTGGACGAGGACTCAATCGCTGCAGTCGAGGAGCTCCGACATGTCTCGGCAACACAACCGTCTGCAACCACCAACGAGCAGCTGGCGCGAGCGGAACAGTCCTTGGGCCCTATCTGGACGGATCCACAGGTGCAGGAGGTGCATCGGCTCGCTGCTGCCCTAAAGGCGTTTGCTACTACGAACCCTTCACCGTTGGTCATGCATCCCGGCCCTGGAGGCTCTGTGGCTCTTGCGCCACGTGGCACCCTTGGGGCTCCCCTGCAGCCGGCCACTGCTATGTCCGCACCTATGATGCCACCGGTCCCGCTGGGCCCACCTGCAGCACATCCTGGTGGTTTTGGGAGCGATCGGAGGCCAGCTTCGGGACCCCAGGACGCTTGACAGGTTTTGGAGAGCCGGAGGCGCGCAGTGGCAGATGGCGCAAACGCAGTGGTGGCGGTGTCGAGCGGCCCTCCAAGAGCCCCCGGCGCGATCTGCCAGGGACTCCATGGCCGCGGGAATCTACAGACCGTACACCGGAGGCCCCTCAACGAGCTCCGGTCACTGTGGTGGCAGACGAAGGCTCCCTCGGCTCCTCCCTGGTGCGTTGGCTGCATCCGCTGGTCCTTGGGTGGAGGCTTGGATGGCCATGCTCCGTTTCTGTGTCGACAGTGGTTCCGACATGGTGGGTGATGTGGCACAGTGCCCTCAGCAAGACGCCTGCCTGCCGCTTACTTTGGACGCACAAGCACAGGAAGTGGCTCTGCAGACTGCAGAGTCCACGTGGACGGCCTTGGTGCATGCAGTCAGCGACCCCACCCAGGCGGACCTTCCTCCTGCAAACGGCCCTGCACTGCTTGCGGAAATGCACGGACGTCTTGCCGAGGGTCCGGCAGGGACTTCTGGTCGCCAGCTTGCTGACCACAGGAGGCCTGCTGGATCCCTTCTCATTTGCACCTTCTACGGCCCAGGAATGGTTGTTTCCCAGCCTATTGCTGGAGGCCGAGGTGCAATTGCGCGGTTTCATCGCTCGGGATGCCTCACAGGACCCACGTGTTCAAGTCCTACTGCGCCTGCCTTCCCCGTTCCTTGGTGCAGCGCTGGCCGAGGAACTGGACGAAGGCTGTGGTTCTTCGAGTCTGCTTTGCTGCAACGGCGTTGTCGCACTCAGCCCAGCTGCCAGTGCTCAGGAAGGCGGCGTTAAATCGCCTCTTTCTTTGATCACTCTCAGCCTTTTCCTAGGGCGGTGCCTCATCTTGTGCATAGCTCTGTACAGGGTAGCCGTCGTCAGTGAGCGTTTCCTGGCCACATATGGACCGCAACTCTCGTGGCGTCGCTCGTGGCAGCTACCCTGTCAGCGACAGCTTGGTGGGTGGCAGCTCTATTTGGGCCGCCTGCCTCCATGTTTGCCTGTGCTTGCATCAGTGAACTTTTGGCCTTCCTCCCTGGTCTTGCCCTGGACATGGGCTCTACGCGCCTGGGCCATCTCAGCACCTGTGCTTGTCCGGGCGGTTTCGCTTCCCGGTGCCGTCCCCTCCTCCACCGGCCCTGCATGTGGCTGAAACCCCTTTGGATGTCCTTCGTGACCCGCTGGGCTACCCCTTGTCTTTCTGGGGTAGAGGATGCTTGGTCGTGCACCCGGTATGGGACTCCTTGCCGTCGTGTCGGCAGCAGTCGTTGCAGAAGTCGATCGGGTGCTCGTGTGTCTGGCTGTCGTCGTCTCGGGACGGCCCTCTTCCTCGGCTACCTCTCGGTTGTTGATGGCTCGACTTTGCACCTTGGTGTTCTCCTCGCTGCTTCCTGCACGCGGATTCCGGCGGCGGTGCAACTGCATGCACATGGGTTTCATGAAGGACGTCCCGTTCTCAGCACGGGCCCTGTCTTGCCCACTCCCTCTGTGGATGCTATGTGTGAAGTTTATCCAGTTGGCCGTACTGGTAATCTTCGTCTTCTTCCCCGCACGGACCGCAACCGCCGGCACTTGGCTGTTTTCGTGGGCACTCCTCCGGGAGCGCCTGTTCTCGAGCCTTGCCTGGTCTGCATCCTCGTCGCGGGTCTCGGGCAGTTAATATGCGTTGTTCTGCCCGCCTTTCTTACTCCCAGAGATCTTACGCAGGCGGTCCAGATGCGCCTTGGTCGCCGAGCCTGTGTTAGCCTACCCCCTGGTTTGGCCGCAGCCGCTCGGTCCGCCCGCCCGGTTCTGGCACTCCGGTCAGGGGATGTTGTTGCCGTCTACCCCCCTCAGCTTGATCCTCTAGCTGGTCCACGTGAGGCCCCTGTTTTTCTCACATGGGGCGCTGCCAATGCAGCTGCGGCGTGGCACTCCGACTTCGTTGTGGCTCATGCTTCTTGCATCCTCTTGTGGTCACCCTGCCGCCCTGCGAGAATTGCTCTCCTTGGTCAACAGGCAAGATGGGATGCGGCCGCGGCCACTGTGCAACGCCACGAGCACGAGCTCGGCTCTCATCGCTGGGCCCCCTGCCATGGCCATCTCGGGGCCCCTCCTTGGCTTGTGGAACAGTCTGCCGCCGAGGGGAGAGCAAATATCATCCAATCTTGTGACTCTACCCGTTGTATTGAAATAGCACGGGATGCCGCCCACGATCTTTATGTCGATGGTTTTTCTCTCCGGCCCGCCTCTAGTCGCGCTTGCCCTGTTGCCAATGTGCGTGATGGCGACTGGTGGGTGCTTTCAGCTGCAGCCGGCCTGCTCGCCCGGCGGGGTTCCTTGTCTGTTCAGCTCGCCTGGCTTGTTTACAGCTTTGCAACTCAAGGCTGGGCCGCCTCTTCCGGTGCCTCGAGCGGTTGTCCAAGCGTCGACTCATCCGAAGCCCGTACCATCCGCACGAGGCGGCGACCGAGCCGCAGCCGCTCCCCGGCCTCGCAATGGCCGGGCCGATTCTTCCCGCCTAGGGTCGACTTTAACGACGGAGAACCCTTTGTCATTCAAGGCGGCTGGCAACCGGACTCGCCCGATTGCCCTCTTGCGCGCTGCTTCCCTGGGCCGCGCCCGCAAACGGCCAGGGTGCTTTGCCCTCTTCGAGGCTGGAGTGAGGTGTTCTTTGCCGACCTTACTGCTACGTGGCAGGTTATAGAACTCGCTGGGTCTCGGCACTGCGGAAGCTGGGCGCGTAAGTTCTTCCCTGTACGGGCTGTCCTACTGCTCTCTCAAATCACAGTTGCACCTGTCGCGCCCTACGGGCTGGCTACCGTGGTCTTTCATTTGGAGAGCTGCTCCGCAGTTGCCCTAGCACCGGTTGACTCGAGCCTTGCTGATATTCACCGCCTGGCCACTCGGGTGTTCCCGCATACCCGTTTCTGGAGGGTGGTTGCTCCTCCGGTGCTGAGCGCCGCCAACCCTCACTCTCATGTACGGTTGCGCAATGGGGATGCTTTTAGTCTAGTACCGGAGAACTCCCAACCGGAAGCCACTAGGTTTCCCCTTCTCCAATACACTTCCCTGGAGAGGGCTAGGCAAGTTGCTAGTTGGTCCCTCCCCTTCCGTTTTGATGTTGGGGGTTCTGCATTCCTTTGGTACACTAATCGAAAAGTCGGCCATTGCCTTCGAATCCGTGACGCTGGCTACTGGAATCCGGACGGCCCCACCTTCTGGAGCCTTAATGGAGAGGCGCTCTCGGGCTCTTGGGTACCGGTCCTCATTGGAGACCTCTCCAGCCTTCATCTTATGCATCGGACCTCGATCGGAAAGGCGCATGTGCTGTTCCTGCTCCCCCCTGACCTGGAGCCAGTGGGACGACTTCTTGCCGGCTGCAACGTTTTCCGCACCCCGCCGGGGTGGCTTCTCCTACCAGCCCTGCAATGTGTTCGAGCAGACAGCTCGCTTCGAGATGGCGATGTTCTGGTGCTCAACCCTACAGCTGACCTTGTATGGGATCCGTTTGGGCCACCCCCACTAGCTCCTGCTGAACCGGAGCCATGGACGTCTCCTACAGCCTCTCCGGCTGCTGCTCGTCCTGCTTTTTGGGCACCCTTGATTGCGCTTCTTGCCCATTGCCCCAGATGGACGGTGCTTGCTCTCTCTCTGCACATGGGTCTGAGTATGGTTCCGGTTGTCGAGGTCCCGGAGCAGCCCATTCGGGCCGGCCTCTACCCCTGGCGTATGTCGCCGAGAGAAGCGGATTTGGTTAATGTGTCCTCCGGCACCGAGCTCGACATTGTCTATCTTAGCCCCTTTACGGGGCCGCAGGAAGCTGGCCGCCTCCCAGCTGCAGCCTCCCTCTCCGAACTCAGCTCTTTGGCCCGGGCTTGTGATCCGGTATGGGGTGCTGACGTGGTACCTGTGTGGCCGACGGCAGCCACCCCGGCCTTGTTGGTGGTGCCACGGCCGCTTACCCCTGACCTAGTCTGCCTGGCCGTCACTTCCTTGGATCGGCACTTTTCGATTCTGGTGCCGTGCTCCACGTCCGTCTCCTGGCTCAGCTCTGCGTTAAGGGCACTGCAGCCCATGCAAACGCTGTCTGTAAGAGCGCCTAGCTCGCTCTCTGCGGATTCCACCGCTGATCAAGCGGTACGATGGCGCTCGGGCGACCTTGTTGTCGCTCTGCCACCCGCTGCCTTTGTGCCAGACTACCAACCGCCCTGCTTTCACACAGACGAGCAGGTTCGTCACTGTGCGATCTGGGCCGTGGACTTCTCGGTCACGGCAAGAGTGACCTTCATACTCTGGCGGCCCGGCCAACGTGCTACCTGTGGCCACGCACCAGCCGGATCCCAATGGAGAGCTCTCGACTACACATTTGCTGGCGACTTTGGCCTTCACTACCCGGGACGATGGGTGCCTGTCCCCTAGTTTGCGCAAGAATTTGCTCACTTGGTTGTGCTACCGGATGACCCCTCGAGTGTCAATGTCGTTGTGGAAGCGGACGGGCACTGCTGGTGCGCTACAGTCACTGCCGCCACAGATGCGTGGCAGCTTTGGACGGACCTGCCCACGGTTTCTAGTCAGCCTCGTGTCCTAGGGGTTCCTCACCAAGAGCTACGGCAAGGGACCACCCTGCGTAGCGGGGACATTGTATCCGGCACGGTGCATGCCTTCTCCCTCAGTGTTGCTCGAGGGGCCATCGGTCTCGCAGTGCTACACGCTTTCCGGGGCAGTGTTGGCATCTTAGCCCCTGCCCTTCTGCTCGCTGGTCCCCTGGCATTCTCGGTTGTGACTGGGATGCGCCTTTCTGGGGAAACCGAGGACTGGCGCAAACGAGCTCCGGATGCCCAAGCGCAAGCCAATCCTATGCATCATCAGGGAACCTGCCACCGTCTCTGGCACCCCCGCCGGTAGCATCCTCGGGCCCTTTTGGGGACCTGCTGCCGCGCCCCCTCCAGCCCTGCAGGACGCCGCACCTGCGTGGTCCTCCTTTACCCAGGTGCGACCGCCACAAGACCACCGTGTTGTTGACTGGGTCCCGATCCCCTCGGATCCCTTATTTGCCACAGTTCTACTTCAATGTCCGCCAGCCACCCGGGCAGCGCTGTTACCGGCCACCTGTGCGGCTGCTGATCTCACTAGGGCGTGCCGCCGCTCGGCGCCGGACCTCCCTCAGGTTCTGGCCCCGCCGGAGATGTGGTGTGGGTCCGCCCACTCCTCTCACCCGACCCTCTTTTTGCGCTCGGGCGACGTCCTCACACTCGCTGGGGCTGCATGGGTCCCCCGCCTGCGTTCGCCTGTTGGGCGCTTCTGGGAGACTCTCCAACAGGCACGGCAGTTTGCTTTCTGGGGGAGCCCGTTCCGAATTCGGCAACCCGGATTGCTCTTCGCATGGTCCCCTGGGGAACCGGCACCGCTTACTGTGCCCACGGACCGCGACGAGCAATGGGACCCCGACCATTGTACCTTCCGGCCCACGCTCGCAAGGTTTAGTGTCGGGCGCTGGATACCCGCCGACCGCAGTGATGACCTCGGCCTTCATCTTGTACCTGAGAGCCCCAACCTCTTATGGGCCAATGTTTTGTCCAGACGACAGCCGCTGCATGCTCGCACTGTTCCCAGGTACGGGAATGGTGGGTTTTTGAGGGATGGTGATAGCAGCTCCACCTGTTGCAGCGCTCCCTCCCCTCTCCTTCTCGGTCTCATAGGCGGTTGGTTGTCCCCTAGGCTGTCTAGATGGTCCTGGTTCGGAGTTTTGGGTTTTTGGACGTTGTGCTGTCAGCCGCGCTCGCCTGTAGCGCTGTATGGCTTCAACCCTCCGGAGTACCGGGCCGCGGACCCGCCCAACTTGGACCGTGGTCTACTGGCACGTACCCGTTGTTACCTTCGAGCCTGGGGCGCCCCCTCAGGGTCCAGTTCGGACGGTATTTCCTGGACAGCCGACCTTGATGAGGAGTGTGTGGCGCAAGCATCTCTGCACCAGCTCTGGTGGTCTCATGACTTGTTTCCCTGTCTCCCTGCCTCTGCTCCGGCCTCTTACCACCGGGAGTTCTCCAGCTACCCGCTCTGGCCAGGTGGCGTTCCGGAACAGATCTTTATCGCTACGGATGGCAGTGGTGAGCACGGTGGGGCTTGGGCCTTCTGTGCCTGGGCATGGTGGCGCGGCCGCTGGTATCGCCT